ACATTCAACAAGATTATTCCTTTTTTCTTAGTCTAAATTAAACAGGATTAAGTAATTTAGTTTGATAATCAAGCACGATATCTGAGAAGTAGATGAGCAATCCTCAGAGGAATTACACGGCTTTGTTTTTTACTAGTTGTCTGCTTATTTTTTTTCATTCCACTAGATATTGCCTCTGTACATTTAGGAGGAATCATTGCTTTTCTTCATCACTCGACTTGTTAGCATCAAGCTCTTGCTTTTCGCCTTCGGCAAAACCCCTTTATCGCCTCCATCTCTATCTTTAGTTTTTTACCTCATTCTCTCGCTCTTGCTTGTTTGCCCATCAAAATCCAACAAAATCCTAGGCCATCAAACTAGTGCATAATGCACAAATTGGCCATCAAACAATTACGAGCTATGCAATCAAGAATCTCGCCTAAATTTCTGGGAAAATAAATGATAGTTCGGATTGGATATTTGGATATCCGATCCGAAAATTCGTATACCCGATTATTTTGGATCACTGTTTTAGTTATCCAAAATTTTGGATACTTGTATTTTTAAATCGGATCAAATTCGATACCCAAATTTACACATCCCTAATTTCTTCTTTAAAAAAAATCCTCTATTTTGTATTCTTTTTTAACCCCAAAAAAATATATATTTTTTGAGGAAGAAATGTTATCAATATATTGTTTGGAATTATGAATATGTTCAGTAGGGATCCATCTTTTTGGTAAATGGGTGGAAACTAAGAACGGAAACAATTGGATATGGAGGAGATTGTTCAAATTGATTTTTTTGTTTCAACTGATATAAAATTGGTTTGGCATACCTTCCATATTCACGAGCATTCAGTGATTATTTGGATTGTCATTTTAAATATGTTGCCAACTGAAGATAAATTAATCTTTTATGAAAAGTTTGGTTCACGAATTATAATATTATTTTTAGGAAAAATATTACTGGATTGTATATTGCTATAGAAATTTTGTATTACATTGTTTGATTTATTTAGTATGAATGTAATATTATATTATTTGATTGGAGAAATATAAGAATATTTTGATGCATAATTTACCAAATTATCCATGTATAAAATCTAAACTAAAATATAATTTTAAAAAAATAGTAAAAGTACCAAAACAGAATAAAAGTAATAGCTTAGGTACTAAATTTATAATTTACCCTAAAAAATGTTGAGGTCGTTAAAACTTTCAATGCAGTAATATGATACTTTAAGTCAAGTATATTTGGATTTGCACAATAACCAGATTCTTCGATAATCAACTGCCAAAATTTCACAGAGATTAGATAAGTTTATTTTAATAATCAGAGCTTATGCTTTCAGATCTAATAATCAACAAAAAAGCTTCAAGATTCTTCTAATATAAAATGTAAGGATTTATCTTTTTTCACCTAAAATCATCGATTTCGATTAAAAGAAACACAGACGCACAAGCTGAATTCAGATCTAGATGCAGAAAGACTAATGATGAACTCAAATCTCAGAAGATCCATGGAAGATGATAAACAGATCTAACTTACCGAGTTCATGAAAGAGCAGAGGATAGAGAAGAAGAAAAAGTAAGAAAAAGGAGAGAACTGGAAATGAGTGGTATGGGAGGAGTAGGAAAGATTTTATTTGATCTATTGGTTTGATTTTAGAGAGAACAAAAAATCTTTCCACGCCTCCCACTCCAAAAATTTCCCGGGGCTCTCTCTCCCTTTCCTTCTTCGTCGCCTTTAAAACCAGAAAAATAATGATAGATCAGATGCCAGTGTCTTTAGGTGAGAGGGAAGACGAAGAATTCATAACCATAAGAGTTCGTAATCGGTACGACATCCTCTCCTTCTCCACTCTTACCCTCTTTGTGCTTCAAGACTTCACTGACTTGAGTTGCTTAAAAGCAAACATATTTCGTTTTTTTTTTTGTAAATGCTGACGAATGCCCTAAGAGTTCTGAGAAAAATTCGTTTGAGGTCTACTATTTTAAAATGACTAGATGAGTATGGATTGATGATTAAGAAATAATAAGATTTTTATGTGAACAAATAATTAATTAATTTTAATCATCAATCAACACTCATCAATTAATTTTAATGCAGATTTTTTTATTTTACACTATATAAAATAGATCTTAAATCGATGTAAATATATATTGGACACATTTAAACAAAAAAGTTCCAGGAAAACAAACCTTAACTTATACTAATTTAAGAATACTATATTATATTTAGTATGTATAATGAATAATTTGTGAAAAGATTATCAAACAATGATTTATATAAGAAAATTTTACAACGTTCGTCGTTCGTCGTTCGTCGAGCGTGAATGAGCACAATTAATGATGAGTACTGTTAACTATGAGTACCATTAAATTAATTTATAAAATATTAAATTATAGAGTATTAAATGTATAATTATAAATTAGTTAAAAATCTAAATATAATTTAATTAAAATACATTATTAATAAAACATTAGTTTTTAAGGTAAATAACATTGACCACCTAACTATTTACCCCTTCAATCGAGTCACCTAACTATTGAAATCTTATCAATTAAACCACCTTCCATTAAATATTAACGGAAGAGATGATGCGGTAGTTACTAAAATTTGTATAATTACACATTTAGTTCTCATTACTTAACACATTATATTAATTTGGTCTTAACTTTTAATTAATTCAATAAATTTAATCATCAATCAGATGGTGACATGTGTCATTATGTGATTAGATATTTTTTTATTAATATTTATTTAATTTAATAAAATTTTCATCCAATCAAATGATGTCACATGTCATCATGTGAATGAATATAAAATAAATTGAATCAATAACCGCTATTAGTGGGGTTTGAACCCAAGACATGAGGAAAAGAACCAAACACCCCAACCACTTGGCTGCACCATTCAAATAATAAACTAATCACGACATAATTTATATAGTTAATGGCAATAAAAAAAAGGAAAAATGGCATAATAAGAACTTCAACATAGAATAATTGAATAATACGATAATATGATATATATATATAACTGATTAATATATGAATGTATTTTATTTATATTTTAAATAATATTAATAAAAAATAAAATAAAAAATTTAATGTATTATAATTGAAATATAACGAATAATTTCGTTAACTTAGATTTTTCCTGATAGTTGAGGGTTTATCGTAGTAAGCATTTTAACTTATGCTTTAACTTGTTTATATCCCGATTACAGTAAGAATTTTATATTTTATTATTTATTCATTAAATATTTAAAGAAAATTTTTGGGAAAACTTGATTTTTGTTGAATTAGTCTATTTTAATATAGAGTTGCCAAATAAGATTAGAATTCGATTGACATTATAATATTTTAAAATATAATATATGATACATTTCAATTCAATAAAATTAGAATAATAAAGACAATTTATTTAATTAAAATATGTATATGATACATTTCAATTATAACATATTATGTTCATTTTATTTTAATTTTTGCATTAAATGTGATCGAAAATATAAATAAAATATATTCATTTATTAATCAATTATAATATTTGTTTATATTTTTTTTATATTTTTCATATTATTTAATTATTTCATGTTTCCATCCTTATAAGGTAATTTATTATCGTTAAATATATTATAAATTATATAGATCATGTTCTATATTCTAGACAAATTTAGTGGTCCAACTTAATGGTTAGGGCACTCAGTTTTTCGGCTGGCGTCCCAAGTTCATACCCTACCAGCAATGGTTATTGATTTAATTTATTTTTCATTAGATTGAAAATTTATTAAATAAATAATATTAAAAAATCCAATGACACATGTCGCTATCGGATTGAGGATTAAATTTATTGAATTAAATAAAAGTCAGGACCAAATTAATAGAATGTGTAAGTAATGAGGACTAAATGTGTAATTATACAAATTTTATTAATTACCACGCCATCTCATATGTTAATAATTAACGGCAGGTGGCTTGATTGACAAGATTAGTTAGGTAACCCGATTGACAAAATTAAAAAATCAGTGGTTAAAGTAAAAGGGATAAATAGTTAGGTTGTCAATGGTATAGTTTACCCTAAAAACAAATGTTTTCTAAATATTATATTTTAATTAAATTACATTTAGATTTTTAAATAATTTATAAATATACTTTTCTTTATAATTTAACATTTTATAAATTAATTTAGTAGTGCGCATCATTAACGGTGCTCATCCGTGCTTGTCGAGTGTGACAACATCATCCTTTATATAATATCATTCAAAAGCTAAAAAATAATTTTCAAAAGTTGTCTTTTTAAATACAATTCATTTTATTAAAATATTTTTTTGAAAAATATTTTTTGTGAAACAAACAAATCCTAAATGATATAATATATTTATCCAAATTATTGTAATTTAAATCGGATCGTTGTATTTAATTTATGAAAAAATATAAAATTAGACCGAGTTAAATGTAAGGAACAAATATGAGATTGTTTTAATTTAACCAACCAAGATCTCATAATATATTGTATACTTTTTTTCTTAATTGAGTATTAGTTTCGTTGAATCCATCTACTGGCTTCAATGGTTAAGGGTAGTATTGTTATTTTTAGAGGTTCTAAATTCGAGTATTTACGTCTATATAGTTTGTGTGCATTGCCAATTATTAAGAAGACTATAAACATATACTATCTTGTAATCATCCTAGATTATTAAGAAATATTGCTGAACTAATTTGGATAATTATTGATAATAACCTTTATTATTTGAAAATATTATGTTTAATAGTTTTTGAATGGTAATCATGTTTAATATTAAATGAATGTTGAAACATATAAGTATTAAATTAATAGTAATTAGGTATTTATCTTGACCAAAAAATACTTTAGGTACTTAAGTGAATAAAATGATAAATTTTAGGTACTTATTTGTAATATAAACCTAAAAGAAATTGCAATGCCAGTTCTTTAATTGTAAGGACATATAAAGGTGCGTGGAATATTTGGCAAATCTACAAAAATTCTATTGCTATTTATATGTTGGTAATGGGACCAGTAAACCAATGTCGAGCACTTAAGATCCACCAAGAAACGGTAATAACAAGCAAACCACCAACAGCAACAGGGGTGTAGTTGAGTGTCTCGGATGTGACCGGATATGCGACCGGCAATGAGAAGAGGACCGAGATGGTTACCACCCACAGCACTGCGATCCAACCGACCACCACTCCATAGCGCCCGAGGTTGAAGGGTCCCGGGACGAATGATTTCCGAGCCAAACTCACCCTAAGGAATATTGGTAGAGCATAAGCAATGTACAGTCCTATTGTTGCAATAGATACCATGGCCTGAAATGCCACCAAGCTTCCTAGTGACTGCTACAACAGAAAACAAAGGGAGCATTGTCTACTATTAATGACCATTGCTATTTGCGAAACCGGTATGAATGAATTTCACCACTCTGATGCAACGAAAAAAGGATTCATTTGCGTAGAAGTTCCGGATGGCGTACCGTTAGTGCCATACAGAAAGAGATAACTGCAGAGAGCCAAACTGCGTTTATAGGAACCTCCTGCTCGTTCACTTTGTGCCACAAAGATGATAACGGCATGGCACCGTCTCGTGAGAACGCATAAACCATCCTGGAAACAGATATTTAGTTCAATTTGTTGCCACTCGATGGGAAACAATATCCAGGATATTTGTCCTACAAAAACACAAGGATAATGTGTTTACCTAGAGTTGCTAGTAACCGAACTCATACCGCAAAAAAAAATGGCGATCGCAATCACTCCCAAGCAAATAATTCCCCCTACACCACTGCCATATCTATTCTTAAATGCGAGGTAAAATATTTCAGCAATAGCATAGCCTCCGGCATCATTATCTTCACTCAAAAGAAATGGGATGTTGGTAACTGCAAAGGTAATACCAAGTAGGTAACCCCATCCAAAAATAATAGATATCCCAATGGCACTAATTATTCCTTTTGGCCCATTCTTATCTGCATTCTTGGTTTCCTCTGTCTACAAATAGAAAGTTTAAGATAAACAATACGATTTAGTTTCATTTGTCAGACTGTAAGTACTCCGTAAGGCAGAGGCGATAAAAGAAAAGAAGCAAATCTAAAGAGTATAAATTCGAACAAAAGCAGTTAAACCTGGTTCTTGTTCAGGTTAGCATGCCCCTAAAGATTCATGTCATTAAACGTCACAGAACATATACGGAACCATTGCCTGGTACCCCATTAAACTTATTTCCCTGGTTTTCTACAACTTTAGAAGACGGCTTTGATCGAGAAGGAAATTAAAGAAACATACCATATGAGCAGATGCATCATATCCAGTAAGGGTATATTGACTCATAAGAAGCCCAAGAACGAAAATATAGACTTTACTGCCTATTCCCTCTCCATTATCTGTGTTGAAATGAGTGAATACAAACTTGGCACTAGCCCTCTCCGTTGCAACTGAGGGTATGAGTATCATAAGAAGAACAACACCTAGATGCAAAGAACTGTTAGTTGAAAAAGGGGAAATCACTTAAGCCAGAAATCATGTTAAGCCCTGATATTCCCATACCTAAAAGATTCCACGCAGCAGCAAGCTGTCCAAAGAAAGATAAAACTGAAATAGGAAGACTGTTTAATATAGCATGTATCAATAGGATTCCCCCATGGAAAGCAATGAGTACATATTTTGATCCCTCGTATCCACCACCATTTTTTCCACCTGTGCTAAGGAGAATTATCACCTGAATCAGTTGTGCAAGTGAGAAATCTATACTTGTTGTAACAGCCCACTGCAAATGAAAAGGCAGTTTGTGTGGTTAGAACTTATTATTTTTATTAATTTCTAATCCACGAGAAGATTGCCTTCCAGTGACGTATTCGAGCAAATCAAATCCAAGGACACAAAAAATCGAAGACACACCTGACCAACAATATTGAACCTGCCAAAATAAACAAATGATCTGGATTAGAGGCAATGAACGGTGACAAAGCAGATTAATTATCTCTTTTGATTATAATATCCTACTGAGTACCGAGACAATGCCATATTAACAAGGGTGAAATGGAAAAGAAAAGCAGGTTAGTCAAATAAATTTACCATAACCCGATTTTCTATGAAGAATCTATAAAAGAAGTGGCCAATATATAAAGGAGCACCAAAGCAAAAGTGTTTCCCTATAAGTTTGAATTATACTGTTGGGAATCCCAAGGGAAACTAAAGTAACATCAAGGCCATTTATCTAATGAAAAGCACATAAATGCAAAGAGGGAACAAGAACTTAATAGCCTCATTTTGGGGCTCAAGCAGTGACAAATACATATATAATGGGCCTCATGTGCAAAATTCATAGCTCTAGAACATGTAATAGATGCTCAAATGAAGTTTAACTTGTGATGTGATCCAGTGTTTAGGAGCTACATCATGTTCTCTTGTTTCATCTGCTTCATTATTTTTCTAAGCTTCGATCTTTGTATGTTTCTATCATGCCTGAGCTACTAGTTTCATAAGCATATAAGGGCATGGCAATGTGAGAAACCAATCACAAAGGGACCACAGCAATGTCATCCATATGCATCTGGTCCGTGACAGAGAAAATAGAGTGGAATGACAATACTCTAATAAATAAGCTTCACATATAGTTGATGGTGCATTAGCTCAAATAAAGCTTCTCAACTCTCAAGAGCATAAATTTCTAGACCAAGAACACAACAACTGTCAAAACCAATGCCATAAAACACTAGCATAGACCTAACCACAAATTAATGCAAAATCTAACACGCCAATAGCAATCTCATTGGGAAATGTCATGAACTATCTACCTTTTGGCAATGAAAGTCTCAAGCATTCATAAACTCGATTCATTCAAATAATTTCGATACCATTGACCAACTTAAGATGGAAGCAATGATGTTTGTCAGTCGTTAAGTAGCATATTAAGACTATAGACTGTTATACAGTTGAGGACAGTTGAAGTTGTTGGTAGATGTGTTGTTAAAGCTGTTAAGAGCAGTTAAGAATTGTTAAGAAGTTGTTACGTTAGTTAAGGTAGTTTGTATGAGCTGTTGTAGAAAACTATATAAGCATAGCTTACTATTGTTGTAAAGTGAGTTCAAGAAATACATGACTCTTTTGCATAGTCTTCTTTACATGGTATCATTCGCCATTCGTCCTGGAGGAGGAGTTGTTGCTGCGTAATTGAATAGAGGACTCTGCTTGAAGTTCTTGTTCCGCTGGCTGAAGGTTCTCTCAAGAATTAGTGAAGATGTTCACCAATAAAAGAGTGAATGTAGTTCTTGATGAATCAAACTTTCTACTATGGAAACAACAGATACTTCTTACTGTGAGGAGTCATCGTTTAGAGGGATTGCTCACTGGTGCGATGCAGTCTCCACCTGCAATGGTTCTTAATGATAATGGTGAGCTGACTGCTAACGAGGCATATGGAGATTTTGTTGCTCAGGACAGTGATGTGGCTTCCTGGCTTTTATCCACCATTAGCAGTCACCTCTTGCCGCAGTTCGTTGGTGCTGAAACGGCTGGTGCTGTGTGGAAAACAGTCTTGCAATTTTTTGCAAACCGATCTACAACGTCGGTTATGAATCTACACTATAAACTGCAGTCACTCAGAAAGGGAGATGACAGTATGAGAGTGTTCCTTACTAAGGTTAAGGAGGTATGCGATGCGTTGGCATCTTGCAGCAGTCCGGTTCCTGCTGTAGAGCACATTGCCAGCATTCTTAAAGGACTCCCAAGGGACTACCAATCGTTCATGGCTGTTATAACATCCAATGGTGAGTCTCTTCCCTTAGATAGGATCTATACTATGTTAGTTGATGCTGAGACACAACTAGCTGGGTTTACTGCCCAAGAAGAACATGTTGTGGCAAGTGCGCATGTTGCTCACGAATCAACAAGTAATGTTGCTGATGGTAATCGTAGTTCAGCATATCGATATCACTCTGGTGGACGTTCCACAGGGCGTGGTCGAGGGAGGCCACGCGTTCAGTGCCAACTTTGTGGAAAAATTGGGCACCTTGTTAATAGGTGTTGGCACAGGTTTGATGAAAATTTCAATGGTCTTGATGATGAGGTTGGGCTGTCTCGTCCTAAGCAAGGATCAGCTGGTGCTAATTTTGTCACTGTGGAGAACGCCAACTGTGAATGTTGTCATGCTAAGAAGCATGGGATAGCTCTAGAGACGTCCTCGGCTCATGCTGAATTAGCAACTAGCTCGAATCAATGGGTGGTTGATTCAGGTGCTACACATCATGTTACACCTGAATCCAAGAATATTACTCACCAGACTGAACACTTTGGTCCAGGTAATCTTGTGGGTAATGGCATGTCACTAGCAGTTAACATGGTTGGTAATGTTGTTTTACCCTCGTTATCTCGACAGTTGTTTCTGAATGATCTTTTGTTTGTACCTGGTGTAACAAATAACCTGCTTTCGGTTTTTTGTGCTAGGGACAATAAGGTGTACTTTGAATTTCATGCGCATGGCTGTTATGTTCGAGATAGCTCCACAGGTGAAGTATTGCTTTCGGGGAAGGTCAAGAATGGCCTGTATATGTTCTCCGAGTCTGGCTCGTCGACTGTTTGTGAAAAAGCCCAAGTTAGTCTTGCTGGTGTTAATAATTCTAATCTGTATGCTCTTTGGCATAGGAGGTTAGGACATGCCTCTTATAATACCGTTGTGAAAGCGTGTAGGGACGTTGATGTATCATTCTCTTCGAATATGAATGAAAAATGTGATGCTCGTTGCATTGGCAAGAGTCATAAGCTGCCATTTCCTGATTCCACTACTGTTTATTGTGCCCCATTCGAATTAGTGTTCACTGACCTTTGGGGACCGGCTCATGTTGCCTCCAAAGGATTTAAATATTATTTGACGTTTGTTGATGCCTATTCAAGGCACACATGGATTTATTTTCTGCATAATAAGGCTCAAGCTATAGTGGTGTTTCGGTTGTTTCAAAAACTAGTGTTGAATCAGTTTGGTGTGTCGATAAAAGCGGTTCAAAGCGATTGGGGTGGCGAGTACAGGAGCTTGTCTCGTGTTCTACTGCAAGATGGCATCAATCATAGGCTTTCTTGCCCTCACACCTCCGAGCAGAATGGAGTTGTGGAGAGGAAGCACAGACATATCATTGAGCTGGCTCTAGTTCTGTTAGCTCAAGCATCCATGCCTACACAATACTGGTTTTATGCTGCCATGACTGCAGTTTACACCATTAATAGGCTTCCGACCAAGGTTTTGAGTGACATGTCCCCATATGAGAAGTTATTTGGAAAAAAACCTGATTACACTTCGTTGAGGGTCTTCGGGTGTAAGTGCTTTCCACACCTCAGGTTGTTTCAGGCTCATAAACTTGAGTTAAGATCTCAAGCGTGCACCTTCCTGGGTTATAGTTCACAACACAAAGGCTACTTATGCCTTGCATTGAGTGGAAGGGTCTATGTTTCGCGTCATGTTGTATTTGATGAGTCAGTTTTTCCATTTGCAAGTCTGACCACCAAGGCTCCTACAAATGACAGTGTAGTAGAGTCGGCTGACTTGGAGGTTATAACTAACGTTCAACAGTTACGAGCGATAACAGGTGCTGTGGGAACTACTGATGCAGTACATGGACCAGTACAAAGTACTTCAGAGAGTCTACAGTGTGCTTCAGAAAATGCGCAAGATACTTCGACTAATGAGATACTTGAAGGTGATGGTGGATGTGTTCCTACAGTAAACTCTAATGATGGTCAAACTGGTGAGAACGTTAATGGTGCTGTTGTGCAAGAACTTGTGGTTTCGAATGTTGATGATGAAGCTGTGCAAGAACTCTTAATACCAAACATACCTACTGTAAATGCTCACCCTATGATGACAAGAAGTAAGTGTGGTGTTTTTCGACCTAAGTTGTTCATGATGTCTTCAGAGACAGTGGAGCCAAGCAATATATATGATGCGTTGAAGTCCCCTAACTGGAAAGCAGCAGTTTATGCTGAGCTCGATGCATTGCAACGCAATGGGACGTGGACTGTTGTGAAGCTGCCACGTGGAAGGTCGGTTGTTGGCTGCAAATGGTTGTTCAAACTTAAGACTAACCCAGATGGGTCTGTTCAAAGATACAAGGCTCGTTTGGTCGCTAAGGGGTACTCGCAAGTACCAGGGCAGGACTTCACTGAAACCTTCAGTCCAGTAGTCAAATTTTCCACAATCCATGTGGTTTTGTCCTTGGCTGTAACAAGACAATGGCAGCTGCGCCAGATTGACGTTAACAACGCGTTTCTAAATGGTGAATTACATGAGGACGTATATATGCAGCAGCCATCAGGCTTTGAGCAGTATGCTGAAGATGGAAGCCAGCTTGTGTGTAAGTTGAACAAGGCTCTGTATGGACTTCGACAGGCGCCTAGGAATTGGCAAGCTCGGTTAAAGAAGTGTTTATTTCAGCTGGGGTTCGTTGAATCTAGGGCTGATACGTCATTGTTCATACATAATAACAATGGTGTGTACACTTACATGCTAGTCTATGTCGACGATATTATAGTCACTGGGAGTTCGAACACAGAAATTGATGATGTGGTTCGACAGCTGGATCTTGCGTTTTCATTAAAAGACCTGGGAGAGCTCGGTTATTTTCTTGGGATAGAAATTGAAAGGTGTGGATGATCGTTGGTATTAAGCCAACGAAAATTTGTTCTTGAACTGCTGACTAGAACAGGCATGGACAAAGCTGGTCTAGTAGTAACACCTATGGTGTTAAGCAAATTACAATCAGAGATTGGTGACTTACTAATTGATGCAAAGGAGTATCACAGTGTTGTTGGGGCACTACTATATGCGTGTCATACTCGTCCTGACATCACCTATAGTGTGAACCAAATAGCTCAATACATGCATGCACCGCGTCAGAGCCACCTAGTTGCTGTTAAAAGGATACTTCGGTATCTTGCAGGCACGCTTGAGTATGGGTTAGTGATAGCCCCATATGGAGTGAATATGAAGATAGTAGCCTTTGCAGACGCAAATTGGGGTGGAAACCTTGATGATAGGAAGTCCATATCAGGGCATTGTGTGTTTGTAGGGGATAACCTTGTATCCTGGACTTCCAAGAAGCAAAAGACAGTGTCAAGATCCACCATGGAAGCAGAGTATCGCAGTGTAGCTGATGCAGCAGCTAAAGTGGCTTGGGTCGGTGCTCTTTTGACAGATATGGGTGTTGTGAATCAAGGAATACCAGTCATCTGGTGTGATAATAGTGGTGCTGTGGCCATGAGCAACAATCCAGTGTATCATGCAAAGGCTAAACATGTGGAACTCGACGTACATTTTGTGCGCGAAAAGGTGGCTGCTAAACAAGTTATGGTTAACTACGTCCGAGCGAGCCATCAAGTTGCAGATGGACTTACTAAGCCACTGTCCAGACCGTTGTTTGAGCAGTTTAGATCAAAAGTTCAAGTGTTTCCATTTGACAGAGGAGAAGGAAAAGAGAGCAGGGAGAATATTAAGACTATAGACTGTTATACAGTTGAGGACAGTTGAAGTTGTTGGTAGATGTGTTGTTAAAGCTGTTAAGAGCAGTTAAGAAGTTGTTACGTTAGTTAAGGTAGTTTGTATGAGCTGTTGTAGAAAACTATATAAGCATAGCTTACTATTGTTGTAAAGTGAGTTCAAGAAATACATGACTCTTTTGCATAGTCTTCTTTACATAGCAAAACTCATTAAAGTGAGTGTTGAACTGCTGATGTTAGTTTATGAAACTAGTCAAAAGAAGAAAAACAATTACCAGCCAGTGAGCCAAGAGGCAAAGGGTGCCCAATTTCGGCCAGCAAGCCTAGCACTCCAATAATAAAGGCCACCAGAAGTTGGGTAAGAAGAACAGATCTCAGCCATTGATAACCCAACAAACATGGTGAACCCACCAGCTATAAACCAACCATAAACCATGGAGATAGGTCCCCCAAAAGTCAACCCGGTGTTGTAAAGTGTGGTGATACCAGTGAGCACTGATATGATGGAAAACGAAAACGCAAAATTTGAAAACACCCTGCAAAATTAAACAAGGAGAGCTCATTCTTCTTTTGGTCTCTCGACCGACACTCTTCATACTCAATCAGATTGAAGCAAAATAAGAGAAGGGTTGTTGAGGAAATTTACGATAGATCACGCTTGAGCTCTTGTTTGTAGCCAAGCTCTCTGAGACGAGACTGGCCTGAATCAACCGAAACGCTCCCGTTTTGAACTGTGTGGGATGGAAGAGTCATTTTTTCGCTGACCTGAACCATTGTTTTCTGTTTTCAGTTTTCAGTTTTCACAAAAAGGAAGGGAAAAAGAGGGAAAATTTTCTGGGTTATTTCTTCCTTCTCTCTGTTCCACTTCCTTGCTGGATTTCCAATCTCACTTTGATTCTTCTGTCTTTGTAAATTACTGTTTGCTTGTCAAAGAATCAATCTTTTATATTTATATATATTTGAGAGAGGAAATCAATCACCTTTTGAGCTCAGAACAAATGAAAATTTGTGTTTTTTTTTTGGTGTATTTTGCATTGATGTCAGACTGAAGAAGATGGGGTTAGGTTACAATATCTCAGGATTGGATTAATAAAATAATTGAAAATGGCAAATACAAGGCCAGGCTGTTGAATGGTCAAACACTCCAAGTTCAAGTTGTCAACTCCAATACGAGAAAATGGCATTCATTGATCATTGCATTAATTTATTCTCATTTTCACTTAATTGATTTTATTTTTTTAATGTGATTATAAAATAATATATATTTAAAAGATTTACAAACATTTTAATTATTAACACTCAAATATACCTATAAATACGCGCAAAGCCAATATCTCAGAATATAACAATTATTTCAAACTATTATTTTACTCTATCTCTACTAAAAAAATCTATTATTTTACTTAAGAACTATTAAGTATCGACCTTATAATTAAACTTTTTTACTAAAATTATCACTATAAAAATGTTATTTTATTAATTAAATATATCATATAAGATAAATACATACTCTATCAAATACGTTTTAATTCTTACGTGATACACTAAATCAATAAGAGATAGAATTTATATAGGTAGAAGAAGGGATTTGAATTCTACCTTTAATATCAAGATTCATTGTGAATCTCGATTATTATTTGATTACATTATTATCAATATCAAATTAATATAGATTATAATCTCATCAAGTAGTATTAGTGATAGAAAATATCATTATTCTTAGAAAATTTGAATTTAAGTAATTACATCTGTAATATGTATATTTATCGTAAATAAATTAAAAAAATTAAATAAATATTATTTTTTTAATTATTTTATACTATTACAAAAATATATAATCGATGAAATATAGATTTTTCCTACACGACATATTTAATTAATAAAATAGCCTTAACGATTATCCCAGAAAATAAAACATATAATCCTAAATATAACTTATTTTAAACACGTGCTAAAATGGATTTATTGGTTGTACAATCCCACCGGCCAAGCTCTAATATTCATTTCTCAGTAAATGATTGCTTCAACGTGTGAAAAAGGTGACCACGAAAAAAGATGTGAAAAAGGCGACCGCAACGGCAAAGCAAGGAAGGGAGATATTATTCTACTGGTCAAATTTGATAAGTTTTTCAATTTAGTCCCCAAGTGTTTTTAGGTCTACTCATTCTCGACTCTCGACAAGTAATCTAATTTATTCATGTTTATTTATTTATTTTTAAGTATAATTATGTTTAGTTGTATTTTTATTAATTTTATAACTATTTTTGTATTTATTCATTTAATATCATAATCATATTTATTTTAATATTTGTGAATGCGATAACATATGTATGTATGTATGTATAATATAATTTTTTAATAAATAATTAAAAAAACTCTTCATTTATAACAAATAAATAAACATATTTTAAAAAAGTATAAAATAATTAAATAAAAATATTAATAATTATATTATAAATAAAAGTAAATATATATATTTTTTAAGTATTTTTTATTAGAGAAATATTAAACTTCAAATAAATTAATTAATAAATGTTATATTCATTTACAATCTCAAACTTTTTTCCACTCCTTCGTTTAATAATGAATATTATTATTTTGTTTCTACACATCTATTTAGTTTAATAGACAAACAAATATAAATAAACATTTTATGAAATGTTATATTCATTTACAATCTCAAACTTTTTCTACTCCTAAACTTAAATCCTATTAAGAATTAAATTTATGATGAAATCTAAGTTTAAGGACAAAGTTAAGAAAAAAATCAAGTTCCGATATTAATATGAACCAAAAAGATGAAGTTAGAAAAAAAAATTGGTTTAGGAATTAATGTGGACCAATAAAAACTATAGGGGCTAAATTGATAAAAAAATCAATTTTAGGAGTAAATGTTACTTTATCCATCGAAGATAAAGATTCCTCACGCAATTCAATGTGAACGGACCCAGGGAATTTTCCAACTTTGAATTATGGAAATTGTTTGGAATCTAATCTTTGACCAGTGCAATTCAGCTGTCATATCACAATATTAACAATTAACTAATTAAAGGTAATTGTATTTGTTCGTTCAATTTACTCCTTGTTGGCGTAGAACGTGGGACTTATTTAAGAATTTATTGAAAAATTAAATTAATCGACAATTACATTTAACAAATATTTAAATAACTAATAAAAGTACAAATAGATTAAATTAAATTGTTAAAGGATTTGTTGTTATTCCTTAAGATTTTATGTTCGAGTTATATTTGAGTATAAGCTAGGGGTGTTTAAAATCGGGTATCTATATTTTCGCATACCCGAAATAACGGGTACTCAAAATTTTCGGATACTAAAATGTCAACCCAAGTCACGGCCTATTAAGTTCGGATACTCATAAATCAGGCACTCGTAAAATTCGGTATCTGCATTTTCAGATCACATGTACATGGTTTATATTTTTCTTTGTTTTTTTCTTTAAATTATATTATTTAAAAAAATTACATAAGAAAATTCTAAAATTTAAATGTTTATAATACTAATATATTCATAAAATTTAAAAATTTAAATTATATAAGTGAAAGATAAAACTTATTAAAAAAATTAAATTAAATTTAAAATATTTTAAAATTAAAAGAAATAATTCAGATTGTTATGTGTAAAATAACTTTAAAATCAATAACTTAGAATGTTATAATGAAATGGTTTAAAAAATTATGAATTTAAAATATTAGAGTGAAATAATTTGAGAGCTAAGAATAAAAAATCAAATAAAAATAAAAAATATATAAGAAATCGGATATCGAGTCAGTAGGTACCCGGTTAAAGGACATTTTCTGACCCGAACTCAACCCAAAAATTTGAGAAAAATAGTGGGCGACCATACCCAGAAAATCGAGTTTTTATTATGAATACCAGGTATTTTTAATTAAGTCAGTGGGTTAACGGGTTGGGTAGTTCGGGTCAAGTATTTTTTAATACCCCAGTATGAACATTCATTTTCAAAAGATTGAAGAGTATGTATGGACTTAGAAGGGGAGGGTGGGGGCGGTCGCCTCCCTTAAAAAAATTAAATTCATATATATTTTATATATTTTTTTTTGTATTTTATGTTAAAAATACGTTTTCATCCTCTAAAAGTTTATAAATTTATCTCTCCCTTAAAATTTGATAAGTTCGCCCCTCTATCATAAAATTCTATTCTGTCCTTAAATTTAAAAATCTTTAAACAAATACTACCTCTATACCTTATATTCAATCCATACCAAAATGATGTGTCATTGACTTCCTAAAAAAATTAAATTTAAACTAAAACGATGTCATTTTCTATTCTTAAAATCATATTTTTTTTCTTGTTTCTCTTCTTTATATTCCTTTCATTTTCTCTCTCTCTACTAAACCTATCCAAATTTCGACCATTGCATCATCCGTCGTTTCCATCCATCACATTCTCATCAATAGCATTTCATGAAATCATATTTCTTTGGAATCATAACACAAAAAATACCAAACGCTTCCTAGAGTCTAAGCCATCAGGGCCTAACTTAAAAAAATTGTATTAGCTTATAACTTTATAATTTTTGAAGGAATTAAACTAAAATTTTATATCATTTTTACTAGGGCCAGAAAGCAATTTCACCATAGCATTAACTTAAAACTTGACAATTGTTTAGTAACTTAAAGCGTATTTTTCCCATTTTGGAGGCCAAGTCTCCTGCCTAACCTCGGAGACGCCCTGCCTGTCGCACTGCTAAAATCTACAATATCAAGATACTAGGATGGCTAACGTCTAAAGAAATGAAGAGACAACTACGATAGCAATGCTTTGTATTATGATGTGATTAAGAATTTAAATAGGAATTTAAGGCTTATTGTTGATGATCTGACCCATGGTTTTCAGAACCGGACCGGTTAGCGAACCAATCATGCTATCGGTTCACTGGTTCAACCGGTCGAACCGGTCCGACCGGTCGCAAAAACCGGACGACGTCATAATTATTTAAAAAATTAAATAAAAATACCAAAAATATTTAATAAAAAATAATTTTTTATATCACAAGTCATATTCAAAGCAAGTCATAACATATATAAGTTAAAAACCATAAAATCAAGTGAAACAAAATGATTCAAATTAACTACAACATAGTATTTAAGGTAAAACATATTAAATAATAAATATAATTATATAACTACAATAAAAAAATAAATTTGGGGTTAAAAAATCATAACAAAATTATATAATTATAATTATATAACTATTCTTTCACTTCAATCAAGTTCGAATTTTAGGCTTCAATCAAGCTTCTAATTTTTTTTTGAGTTCAAGTCTTTTTTAGTTCAAGTTTCAATATTATATTTCGAGTTTGAGTTGAACTTGATAATTTTTAGCTTGTGAGTTTGAGTTGAGTTGAGCTTACTTTTAAAGTTTTCAAATTCGAGTCGAGCTCAGCAATACTCGAGTTCGACTTGGCTCGTTTAACAAACGACGTTGTTTGGTTTAATTTTTTTTAAAAAACAAAAATCCCGGTTTTTCCTGGGTTTTTTTTGTTTTTTCCGGTTTTTAGCCGGTCCGGTTCGAACAGTTCAGCGGTTCTGGCCGGTTCACTAATAGCGGTTCAACCGGTTTAAACTGAACCAGACTAAGTAACGGTTCCTGGTTGAACCGATTGAACCGACCGGTCAGGTCCAATTTTTAAAACAGAGATCTGACAAGAAAGGTAGTGATATTAGTAAGTTCATCCTCTTTAAAATAGGTGGAGAATCTAAATTGACGGTTGTTTAGAGAAAGAAAAAAAAATGATTAGAAAAGACGATAAATAATGAGGGTAAGGTTGAAGATCTCTGTTTTAATCTTACTTGTGTGACTAAATGTATGTAATTGACACCTTACCGATAGTGACGAATTCAAAAATATTTTTAAAATAGACACATATATATTAATAATATAAAATTTTAATAGGATGTGGATACAATTAAAATTTCAAAGTTAGTTCTCTTAATAAAATGAACTATTATCATAAAAAATTTTGAATTTCAGGGCATGTACATAGTTGTACTTAACAAAGCTTACATTGGCCAATGGTGACTGGTGTTAGTACTACAGTTGATAGCTATTGATGGGTTGATAAGTTTGATTGTTAGATAATAAATTTATCTAGTGATGAGTAGTGGCAAATCCACATATATTTCAGGAAAAGCACTAAAATTTGATTTTTTTTAAATTATTTATTTTATTGATAGTGTTTATTCTAAAATTTTACTTATGTCAATCTTACTAAAAAATTATATTTAACATGTGTGCTTATTCTAAAAATATTTCTAGATTCGTCACTAATGATAAATATTAGTAATGATTATATGGAGGAATTATGACAAATGAGGATAATGATGAGATTACCTTCAATGTGCCCTGGAATGTCTTAGAGGCTTTAGAATCTTCCGTACATAGAAATGGTAATGTAGGTACGTAAAAGAATGACATAAAAGATATAACTTGTTAAAGATAGCAACTAAGATATAATTTAGTGTGGAGGTATTATTAGGGATATAAATGAGGCTAGCCGAGTTTGAATTTGTTCAACTTGACTCGATTAGAAAATTTGTGAATTTAAAATTATCAAATTTGATTTGGATTTGAAATTAAAAATTAAAAATCAAACTCAAAACATACTTGTTTAAAGCTTGAACTTGAACTCATACACAAAAATCTTATATTGTATTCTTTAAAAAATGACAATATATAAATATTAATATTATTAATAATTTAATTTAAAAATTCAATTTTAATATATTATTTTTTTAATTACTAGGGAAATTTTCAAGTAGAACATTGAATAACTCGTTTCGACTTATTAAAAATTTAAATTAAATTTATTCGTATATTAATCAAAATTTGATCGAATTAAAATTAAATAATTTGTAATGTATCGTCTCATCTACGGTCAGTAGAACACTTATAATTACTAATCTAATCCTCCGTTGCCCACTAATTGCCAAACCAATTCCTTTCTAATACACGTGCATGTGACAGATAAGGTAGGAATCCAAAGCAACAGAAAACAAAACAGAGAAAATGCATGGTCCAAACAGTGAATGGAAAAGGTTAAACGGCAAGACAAACAAAAATGGACGGAAATTAAACGGGAACTTACCAACCGGTGAACCAGGAAGCCATAGGACCCCACAGATTGCCGCACAACATGGCACTCCAAAAATATAGGCCGCCGGAAGTAGGATAAGCAGAGCAAATCTCTGCCATCGCCAGACCCACCATCATAGTTAAAACGCCCACGATGGGCCATCCGTACACCATCGTAACAGGCCCACCGAAGGCCAATCCTGTACCGTACATCGTGGTGAGTCCCGTGAGCACCGATATGATGGATAACGTCACTGAAAAGTTTGCTATCGCCCTGCACACCGGCGTCTAACATTTCCTATCATCATTGATTACGTACGAGAGACAGATGAACTGTCGAGAAATGAAAAGATAACAGGGGATAAGTTGTTGATTACGTACGAGAGACTGCGGCTGAGTTCTTGCTTGTAACCCAGCTGGTTCAGGCGAGCGTCGTCGGAGACATTCGGTTCTCCGTCGTGGACAAGGAGAGGTAGATTTGGTGCTGAATCTGCACTGGCTCCGATTCCAGTTTCCATTTTGGTAAGAAATTTAGTTGTGAACCGCGTTCTGTTCTCTGAATAGAATTATTTAAGAAAGCAACTTAAGACGATCTTACGGTCAAATGTTTGAGTTTTGAAAAGTCGATGGATCTAGCGAGAAGCTGGAGTTAAAAATTAGGTAAAGTATATGAATGGTTCCAATTATAGTTAAAAGTTATAAATATTTCTTAATTATAGGATGTTATTTTGTTGTATCTCTAAATTATTAAAAGTTATAAAATAATCACTTGATTATTCATATGTTTTAAACTCGTTTTTTTATGTTAAAAACTTGTGACCATCTTAGCTGGACATTAACCTGTTGACTGATATATAATAGCCATTTGAGATTTTAAGAGTATATTTTATTATATCTCAATGTTAAAAATTAGGTCAAGCTTATATTGTCGTTAATTTTTTAACGAAAAAGACGAGTTTGAAACATATGAATAGTTGAGTGATCATTTTGTAACTTTTAATAGTCGATGGACTCAACAAAGCAACGACTTATAATCGAAATACTATTTTTATAACTTTTAGTAGTTAGAACTTAACAAATCGAGAAACCATTTGTCTATTTTACTCTACAAATTATTGAGTTAACTATATTATTCACCCATAAACTATAAAATTAATTTATCTATTTTTCAAAAAAAAACTACCTAATAATCTGTTAAAATTATGATTTATCTTTAGTGATTGTGAAGGACTATCAATATTTAAGGAATATAGTATATATTTAAAAAATTATCAAACATTTAATTATAAACGTCCAAATATTACTATACGTATTGTGTTCTAATTTGAAATTCCAAAAGATAATAATCATTTTTTTTGTTATCCTTTTGGCTCCAAGGTCTTGCGAACTAGTATCGTTTGGTTTGTAGTTAATCGAATTTATTTAAATATCGAATTATCATATTACCACGCCAGCTGAGCACCTCTCATTTGCTAGGCTTTACTATCGAACCGTTTGCTATTATTGCATTTAATCAATAGTAGCTAAGAGAGGTTCATTCATTCACAGCCGTTTAACAAAATTAAAATTGTAAACGAATAAATTTTTCAAATTAATTATTTATAAGGTCAGTAATAAAAAAATCAGCAATATTTTAACATCAGTTTTAATATATTAAAACAAAAGTAAAAAAATCATTATACAAAGACGGATAGAAGATATATTAAAAGTTATAAAATAATTATTAAAATTTTCAATTGATTACAAAATGACCTTTTAAATTTATTAAATTATTATAAATTAATCACTAAATTTATTATTTTTTTAATAAAATAATCTTTAAATTTATCTAATTTTATCATTATTTATGACATATATGGATATTTTATATTAATTTGATAAATACAATAAATATTTTATAATAACTTAATAAATATAATTACTATTTTATAATTTTCAAAATTTTAACGATTAGAAATTGTTTTTAAACATAATTATTGTGTAGTGTAACCATTTTTTTAAGACTCGTTTATGTCGTGGAAGCTTTTAATCTTATTCTTCGCGTACTTTCTAAGAATACGAAGAAATCAGTCGGCCATTCGGCTGGAATAAGAAAAATAATATAAGTTCGATTAAAACATCTAATGATAGAATTAATGATATGGATTTCTCAACTAATCTCAAAATAATTCGATCTACAACGGTATTGAAAACCTCCATTAACGGATCAAGCCACTGCCAAGCAAAAACCAGAAGAAAATAGAACAAAGATGTGTACACTCCAGGTCACGGTCCAGATGCAATCCGATATCCGGTCCGCTCTTCATATGGCTTTCTCTAGCTTCGGCTCTCTCAATCCATTCCGTAGGTCTGCTCTCGTTCTCCCACCTCTCCGTTTTTATTCCGCCGCCTCGTTCTCTCCGCCATCAAGAGCTTTCTCTACCGCCGCTAGAGTCCACGACAAGCCTTCCATTTGTACAGCCGACGAGCTCCACTATGTCTCCGCTCCCAATTCTGATTGGCGCCTTGCACTCTGGCGATATCACCCTCCTCCTCAGGTTTTCTGGTTTTCTTTGATTTGACTTTTCCACAATATATATTTGTTTGTTTTTATTTTTACTTAATAGATGGATGAACTGAAGTGACTATAGCTACACTAAGTTGTAACAGGCGCCCCCGAGAAATCATCCGCTGTTATTGTTATCTGGAGTGGGGACTAATGCAATTGGATACGATCTTTCTCCCGAGGTAAATTATTATTATTATTATTATTATTATTATTATTTTGTTTTGAAGTAGTTGAATTTGAATTTTCTGGTGTATGGAGAGGAAATTGGGTCAAACTAGCATTGGTTGGAGTTACTGTTGGTGTTGACAGTATCTATCTTATGCTACTTGAAACTAGAGAATTAAGAGGCTTGAGTCCAATTTATTTCAGGTTTACTGTCCTGTCCAACTTCATAATGGACGTAAACTGTTAAAGCGTAAAATTGACATGAAAGCGGTTCTAATTCTGTTATCAGATCTCTTTTTATATGGAATGGGATGAGAATGCATGTTAAGTCGTGTTAGCTAAAACAGTGAATTGCTTATTTATTTTTTGCAAGATGTAAATTGTTTTGAAAGGGAAAAGCTATTTTCATGTATTGTAGTATGGTTCTCTAGCCTTTTATTTCCTTAAATTTTGGAATGCTTTCTTTTGGCATTTGTACAAATGCAGAATTAATTCTGCATTTTAGAAGTTATTGCTGTATTTGGCTCAAGGGTATATTCTTAAGAATGCCATTTATTTTATCCTTTTCTGCTGGCTTACAAGAATGCCTATACTCATGGTCAAGCAAACAATGATGACTTCTAACTTTTGCTTATAACTTTTAAGATGCTGAATATTATCTCCTCCTTTTCTTATGAATATGATCCTTTTCCTGATAAATGTGATATGCATTGCAGTCTTCATTTGCGAGATACATGTCTGGCCAAGGATTCGAGACATGGATTCTTGAAGTTCGCGGTGCAGGACTCAGTGTGCAGGGATCAAATCTTAAGGAAATTAAGGAAAATGCTGATGCAGTGTCTGAGCAGATGGGAGCTGTTGCTGAGAGTGTTACAAATGGAGTTTCTCCTATGCAGCAGCAGAATAATGTTCCTGGTTCATTTTCAGATTCAGATTCTGAGAGTTCTCTTCTTGGAGAAGATTCGGTAGGGGTCACAACAGCATGGGATGAATCAAAATTGGCCTCAAATTTGTCAGAAATTTTGATGCGTTTGTCTGAGAGACTTTCTGGCTTTCTCAGTGATGGCCAATCGGGGCTCATCTCTGCTAAATTGTTTGATCAAATATCTAAACTTTTACAAGATTCTCAGCTATCTGAGCGCTTCGAGGAGGTAAGGGCAAAACTTTCCAACTTATTGGAAAAACAACAGAACTCTGGCGTTGCTAGCCAAATTAGAGATCTGAGTCAAAGACTTGTAAATATTATTGAAGAAGGTCAACGATCTGTTTCACCTCAGTTTATTGATATGCAAGAACGGCTTTCATCAACAATAGAAGATTTTCAGAAACAACTTGACTTGATTGTGACGTATGATTGGGATTTTGATCACTATCTGGAGGAGGATGTTCCTACAGCGGTGAGGTGACATTTTGCTATGCTGGAAGGCTATGCAAATGCTGAATCATTTTTGTCTTACTTTCTTAATAAGGATGTTATGAATTTGATTTGTTATTTTGCATTTTTGAATTGACAATTCTCATTTTCATTCGTATAGATGGAATACATAAAAGCACAGACAAAGCCGAAGGATGGAAAATTGCTTGCAGTTGGTCATTCAATGGGAGGCATATTGCTTTATGCTATGCTGTCACGGCATGGTAAGATACTATCATCTGCAGTTTATGTCACATTCCGATGATTTTCACCTTTCAATTATAATGCAAGAAACATCCCTTGATTAGTTCAAGTACACTTTGAAAGCCTTAAAATGAGTATATGTTGTACGTTCCCTTGTTTTATTCTAAGCTTTAAACTAAAAATTAATCAACCTGTAACCGTAAAACTGCCTTACGTTAACAATAATCAGTGGAGGAAACAAATTATTATTTTTTGAGGTGGTTTTTTGCCAATGGAGTAGCCACATTAGATTGTTGACGGCTATCAATGATTGAAATTGCATATTATATACATAAATGCGTGTGTGTGTGTATAGTTAGTATAAAACTTGATATTTTTTTATATATAGTTAGTATATTGACACCAATAAAAATTGTTAAAACTTGTTAAGGGAAAAATGATCTCATTTCTATATTCATTCAGAATTTTGTAAAAAAAATTAGAATGCGTTTCTTATTGTCTTTTATTAATCATATTTTGAGCCTAACTTCAATTTTCTTTTGTCACTTCTTGAAACTGCCATTTTTTCAGCTTGTTGTTATTTCATCTCCCAGCTATTAGTTTCACAGCAATTAACTCCATAATACATATTATATATGATTTTAATCCAATTTATAATGATTGGTTTGTTGTACATGATGTAACAACTGCCATACATAGTTGTTTGATGCTACAACATAGTCTCATTATAAAAGAAGCAGAAAGAAAAAAAAGGATTGCATTTTCCATCTGATTGCACTATTTACTAAGATTTTGACATGAGTGAAAAATGGGGGAAAAAAATTGTTTCACACTACTTAAATCATACCATAAATTTTCATTATGAATACATTTCAGACAATACTTCTTCACTTGAAAGTTTTTATATTTTGGGATACTTTATTCCGTGTTTAATTTTGTTTCAGTTGTATCAGGTAACAAATATTATATATAAAATAAGGGAAGATAATACTACTAAGTTGACCTCATTGACACAAGTTTATCGCTATGGCATTGCTTTGTGGGTCACCACATATAATAACAAAGTGGAACTATTAAACTATCACAGTGTTCTGGCCAAAACAAAAACTATCACAGAGTGCATCTTGAACAGCCAATGCAACAAAATTAAGCTTAGTCTCAATCAGGTTGCATGGCTCTTTCATTTAGCTCAGACCTTAACAGTTATATCTGATGTGTTTTTCCTGTCTTTAATTGTTTGAATAATAATCCCTATCTATGTTGGATCTCTAGTTAGATGGTACTCTTTGGTCTTGGCTTTCTTTTCTCAATCTTGATAAGCCTTTCCCCCTGTATGTTTTGGTCCTAGGATATATACATATTGTTCTTTGTTTTAAGATTTATTTTTATGATAAATTATTGGGGAAGGAGAAGAAAATGCCATGTGGGTGAGGTGCAGTAAGTAGTTTCACGAGCAAAGTTATCAATATGAAAAAACAGTTATCAAAAGGGAAATGCTTCTTCGTCCGACTCTTAAGGACTGACTACTCTGATTGTAGTTTTCTTTTCATTTGTCTGGCCAATTAGCAGTGCTCATGCAAATCATATTGAATGGTAGGAGGCATATTTTGATGAGCCCTTATAAAGGTCATCTCCCTCTAAGTGGCATTTAATGGTTGATATTAACAAGCAACCCCTAAAGTTTTCAATTGTATATTTCTTTACTTTCCCCTACTTTTCATGTATCGAGATTCATACTTGGACAACAATTCTTCTGTTCTAGCGTTGTCCACAATGAAGTGGTTTTAGATTTTATGTTATATGGGGGATTAATTGTGGTATAACTAATCTCCAATAGAACATCAACTTACTTGAAACATAATTGTGCTTGTTGTGTCGGCTTTTGCACCTTATCATTTGGCAGGAGTTAAAAAAAGGGTTTCAAGCCATTTTTAGTGCTTGATGTTTGATGCAATGTTGTTTGCGTGTGACAATGTAATTGATACATGTATCATGGAGGTAATACTTTGGTTATTGAAGAGACTGCTTTAAATGTTTGAACGTAGATTTTTTCATTTGGTGGATTCCAGAGTAAAGAACGAACGTATTTATTCCTTGGAATTTGAATATTGAGTTTAGTTTTGGTTGCAAGCCCAACATATGAAATTGGCTAAGGAAAGACAAGGAGCTATTATTTCATTTTTTAGCTGCTTTTTCTTTTTTGTTTTAATTTTCAACTTGCTTCTTCCCACACTGGTGTAATTGTTAGGATCAAGTGTTGTATTATGGATAATTATCCAATACATGGCCCAGTGGATTGTAAAAACACCACAAGCTGGGTTAGTGCGGTGACAATCCCAATTTTTTTTAATATACTTTAAGGGGCATTTGTGGGTTTTTACACTCCAACGGTGGTGAAGAGTCCTATTACTTTTATTTTAAGAGTAGGAGCTTCCTACCCTAACGGTGCCAATGGTTCAAATATATTCTTAGTATCATATAATGTTGCTGTGTTAGATTTAGCTTAGTGGAATTGTATTTAAAGTTCAGTTCTATTTGAATCAAAAGCATTTGTAAGCATTAGTTTTTAATGTGCTTCTGTTTATAGTTTGCTTTTCTTTTCCGTTGATAAAATTTACAATTGGTTGTGTGTTATACATCTTGTAAGGCTTTGAAGGAAGGGTACCTGAACTGAAGGCTATTGTAACATTGGCATCATCACTTGATTACACGTCTTCGAATTCGGCACTCAAATTACTCTTACCTCTCGTAAGTCGGTGAACATGTGTTGATTGCTATGTATGTTTATGTATTTTTGATAAATACCTATTTGAAAGTCAGATATAGAGAGTCATGTTGAGGAAGTAATATCATGGTACTTGTTGTGCAGGCAGATCCTGCACAAGCTCTTAATGTACCTGTTGTACCATTAGGAACGCTTTTGGCAGCTGCCTATCCTCTATCATCTCGGCCTCCTTATGCCTTGGGTTGGCTAAATAATCTAATATCAGCAGAGGACATGATGCATCCGGAGTTGCTCAAAAAGCTTGTTTTAAACAACTTCTGTAAGTATGGGTATATTTCTCTTTACATGATGTGAAATGTTACAGCTTTTCTTATTTGAATCTACAGCTTTCCTCTTTCTGTGTAAATGAACATCTGGGGTACAGAAAGTAAATAATTCAGGGAAAACTGGGTTTCTGATTTTGTAGCTTGATGTTCTGTTATCAACTTTCTGGCTTGGTGGGGGTTGCCTCTGAATGTGATTTTTCTGTTGCTCTATTAGGATTCAAGTTTTATGCATCGTTATCTGCAAAATGGTGACTGACGTGACGTCTTTTATGATTTACAGGTACTATACCAGCTAAAGTTCTTCTGCAGCTCACGTCGGCTTTTCGAGAACAGGGGTTGTGTGATAGGAATGGTAAATTTTTCTTCAAGGATCATATACATAAAACCAATGTACCTGTCCTGGCTATTGCTGGAGATCGAGATCTAATTTGCCCACCAGAAGCAGTAAAAGGTAGGTTAATGTGCATAATCCTCTCACATTCCATAGCTTCCATGCAATATATGTCGTTTTATTCCTTACATTTTAAATCAGAAACTGTGAAGCTTCTTCCTCGGGACTTGGTTACGTACAAAATATTCGGAGAACATCAAGGTCCGCATTATGCACATTATGATCTGGTGGGAGGACGACTGGTAAGCATTGGTAACAGAAAAGCATCAACCGACATGTTGTTTGATTGTTAGTGACTGCTGTTTCTAAAATTTCTTCAAAGTGCAGGCTGTGGAGCAAGTTTACCCATGTATAGTCCAGTTTCTCAGTCAATACGATGACTGAACATGACGGAAGTTGTGCCGAGAAACATCGCTGCAAAATATTTGGTAAAAGCAGCTGGTGTTCACTTTCCATAGCAACGATGTGTACCATTTTGTCAGGTCGCCATGCCCGACTCAGTTAGTCCGACGGTTCAGCTTCTTGGTAACACACCACAAATATACAAGCACAATAGAACCATGGCCTGATAGAATTTCTAGCAAAAATTTGTGTTTCCTATGTTGTGGATATTTCACATGGAGGCTTCAGAACTCATGACACCAATCATTCACGTTGGATACATTGAAAGAATACTAATAAAACGTACAACAAGAAGATTTCATGTATGGAATTGATAAAGCCAATGTGATGAATTTGTAATTGTGTGCTGCCACATGCACCATGTCAGAATAATGTCTCTTGTTTTAAATTTCCATTTATGTCCATCCCTCACCTCTGTTCTTTTGTGTGGGGGCAAAGTTCAGTTCTGGATGAAGCAATTAACTATACTAAATCACTTAAACCACAAGTTGAAGTAATCTCTCCCCTCTTTCCCAAAGCCTAAATCAAAAACTTCTTTTATCTTAAAAGTACTTTCTACTTTATCTTCGCCATTGATTTGCTTCAGATCATGATAATGGGATTATTTCCGTCTTCAGCTGGTATTCAAGGCCCACAAGTATCACAGTTTGGCATTGATTAGCAATGAAACAAGAGACAATATTCTGGAACTAAAACTGAATACATAACACTGGTTATTGAAAGTTCGACCGACTACAATGAAACTTTTCAGAATGAGGCAGGGATTGATCGAGGGGGAGAGTGATTGAATAATTATCAATTGATAATCTATTTTTACTCGTTTTCATACTTTATAATTTATCTTCAGTTAAAATTTTAAAATTTTCTTTTAATATGTTTCAAGTTCTTGAATTTCATCCCCTTGATGAAAAGGGTCTTGCCAGTTAGGGTCAGGCCCGGTCATGACATTTTAAGGGTCCTAGGCCAAAAAGTGAGGACAAGAATATAAGTGGAGGTCCATACTTAGATTTCTCATATTATTTTTTCACTGAATTATAATATTTTCAAATTTTTTAAATAAAAATATATTTAAAAATATTTTTTAATTATTGGAGCCCACTAAATTATCATATTTTAAAGTATTTTAAATAAAAAATATATTTAAAAATATTTTTTAATTATTAAACTTAAAAATAATTTTAAAAATGGATCCTTCAAACTTGGGTAGGCGCCCTGGGCTATGCCCAGGGCTGGCCCTGGTTAGGGTTAGTAACTTAGTATTAGACTATTATTGTTTTCCATGGTGTTATAGTACTAATACAATTGTTGGTATATTTATTTAATTTTATTCGTATTTGTATGCCTAATTTCTGTCATTATTCAACATATAATCAGGATTGCTTTTACTATAAATACAAATATAAAATTAAATTTTAGTTGTTCTAATTCAAATCTTTTAAAAATTAATATTCTCTTTTACTATTAAAATCACTCAATAAGTTGAAAAATTTTAAATAGAATTTATAAAAACTACTTCAACATTTTTTTCCATTACCAAACTATTCCACTATTTACAAAGCATTTAACTTTGAAATTAAATTGTTAATTTTTTATTAGTTTGAAATAAATACAAGCTAATATTTGTTCTAAGACACTCGATCATTTAACATTGAACATTCATATCTTTACATACGTGATAATCGAACCTGAAACTTCAAGAAATAACAATCATATCTTAATTACTGAGTTCGTTTAATTCATACATATGATTAATTTTTTAAATTGACATTATTGGAAATAGTGAAATACAAACAATTTTAAAATTTGTGACCGTTAGGAACATGCACTTCAGTCACGTGGGTACATGAAAACCTAATTTGACATTATAGTTTGAAAAACGAGGCTAGTCTCCAAATATTGGCCGCCAACACGGTTCTTGTATTCTGTATCTTTGCAAGAAGCCTTACCCACCCATCGCACGTGTTACATATTACATTATAGACAACATTAATTATTTTGTAAAATTAAGGTTTTTTTTTGAAAATTTGTAAAATTAAGTTAGTTGATAAAAATAAACCTATTAAATTAACATTAATTATTTGTAAATAATCTCAATAATGAATTCAAAATTGTTGATTTTTAATTTAATTATTTTTATTTTTAATAATATTTTAAATTTTAAAAGTATAACAATTTCATAATCTTTATTTATTTTTTTCAATTTTCTATATAAATAAATTATATCACCGAACTTATTAAAAATAATTAAATTTCTCTACTACGTTAGCATCTACTATAGATAAGATTATTACATTAACACCATAAATTGACATATCAATACAATTAATTATCACATTAATATCATATATTTCAATAGTGATTCTCGACAATTAAAAGATAAGATTATTACAATTTGATAGATTCAATGAGTATAATTTAAAAAACAAAAACAACATTACTATTTTAAGTTTACTACGACAACGAAATTACCTTTTTTAAGGAAAAAAATAAAATTATGAAATATTTTTTCATTATATTTGCAAAATTAGAAGAATAGACCATTAGAATGTTCTACATATGCAAAATTTCCATAAATTTAATTTAAGAAATTGATTTGACCATGAATTATAATACTTTAAAAAGAAAAAATGATGAATATATATATAATATCATAAATATCTAACTCAGTTGGTAGAATATAAAATTCTTAATTTATAATCGTGAAATTAAACCTCATTATGAATAATTTATAAATCAGTGATCTCTACCCATTACATATTAAAATAAAAGTCAGTTAATTTATATATATTTATATCAGGCTGAGGGTTGCTCCTGATGCTCCACGAGCTTACGTTATCACCTCGCACAGCACGGTCAGAACCACCCACCTTGAATCCCTAAATCTGCCTGTTTTGTACACGTGTCATCATTTCTCTCCCGCGCCGTATATCTACCCGTTAACCCTAAACTCTCTCTCTATCTCTCTGTGTCCATTACTCTATCTTCTCTCTGTAACTCTCCTCTCATCAAAGAAGAAGAAGAAGAAGAATAAGAGAAAGAGAAGGAAAAATACATAGAAAATATATTCAATAGAGAGAAGAAAACAACTGTTATCAAGAAGGGAAGAAAAGAATAAAAAAATTGGAATATGGGGAAACTTCTATGCGATCCAATCGAGACATTTCAAACGTCTTCTCCGACGGTACCTCGGAGGGAATCCAATGCCGCGACACTTGAAGCGGTTGATCTAGGTGACCAGATCATCACGGCCACTACTACGTGGGACGACGTGATTGGCCTAGAGGACCAACAGAGACGGCATCTCACGAAGCTTCACGCCAGGGGAGTGCTGTGGAAGCACCCCAAAGATAACGGCTCCTCGTTGGTGTTCCGACTGTCTCACGGCGGCGATGTGTCGACGGATGGGAACTGCCTTTTCACGGCCTCGCAGAGGGCCATGGCGCGTGAGGTCGACGCGCGAGATTTGAGGAAGCAGACGGTGAAGCGTTTCTTGGAGGATCTTGGATCTGCTATGGAAGAAGAGAGACAGATGATAAATGAGGTGATTAGGAATATGTACTCTCCGGATCTGAGGAACGGGTGGGGTGTTCATGTGGTTCAAGAAGTTAAGTTGTTAGCCAAGAAGGAGGAGCGCGTTGCCTTGGACTCTGCCATTGAAGAGCTCGTTCAGCTCGGAATGCAAAGGTTTTTTTCCCCTCTTCTTGGATCCATTGATCTGCTTTTTGTGATTATTGTATCAATGCTCTATTTGATGTGTTTCCTTGTCGTCTATTTTTCATAATGAAGAGAATTGGTTGCCGAATCTATTTACAAAGAGAGATGTATTCCTGTGAATGACGGCTCGAGCTGGGCCAAATACATGTCCATTTCTGGTTCACCTGATGATGAATATGATATCATCACTTTGCAATATACCGAGGAGGGTTTATTATATGTAGATGAGAATAGAGAAGGTCGTGCTGCTGCATTTGGGGATGACATTGCCATCGAATGTCTTGCAACAGAGTTCAACCGTGAGATATATGTAGTAAGTTGAAGCTTGAATTGTTATAATTATATGGGTGTATGGATTTTGCTGCTACTTTTATGGCTTCAAAGCATTATATATTGTAGTTGTGAATGGTGAAAAGTAGGTTGCGAGGGTTCCTCCATAATAGTTCTATGCAGTACTTCATCTAGATTAGTTGATCAATAGATCATGTACCAGTGGTTAAACAAAAAAAAGAATGCATTATATTTTCCGATCGGTACCCACATAGCCTTTTGTTTCATCACTTTGGCTGTGTATTGCATCTAATTCTTACTGCAGCAGTGTTCCATGAATTCTGAGACTAAGATACTAATGTAATGGGAAGGGGTGCTTGCATGGATTTTCTGTTTTTCAGTTATGGCACCAAACTTGGATGTGTATCAACACTTTCCTTTTAAGACTAGACTTTCTGTTTAAACCCTCATTCTAGGTGCTTGCATGCATTTGTTATTTATAGACCGAGCAACTTTTTTATCACATGTAGTGAATTACATTCAATTTTAGCTTAGGTTGAAGTTCATTCTTTCAACTCATTCATTACAGTTGCAAGCACACGGATCAGATGCTATGGTTGACGAAGACGACTGTGTTTTCTTCCTTCCGCATCGTCCAAGGAGTGAAATATGTGAACCTCCCTTCTTTCTGTTTATGAAAGGAACAGGTATCAGATTTTTTTCCGAGTCTTTTGCTAAACAAAAGACTTTTCTTATCAAATTGCAAGTTTACACAGAATCCCCTAATGTGTCAGGTTGGTGTGGCGCTGGCGCTGATCATTACGAACCATTGATTGCCCATGCTTCTTCACTTGTTTCTCCAGAGAAGGTTGCTCTCGTACTGGGGCATTGAGTTGAGTCCTACAGTTTTGCGGCATAGAGATTTAAGCAGAAGTAGTTCATTATTTCCCCCCCAATATTTGGCATGCAATGTGATGTAGTTCTCAGCAATCCTTTTGTAGGAGAATTTCATCGCATAGCATAGCGTAGCGTAGCACATAATTCTCCATTTTTTTTGGTTAACATTATCTAGAATTGGTTATCCTCTTACGTTTAGTTTGCAGGTATGGTTGATTCCTGCTATTCGAGAAAGGTCTTAATAGTGTTTTGTAGTGGTTCTCTGTTTTGCATGCCGGCTTCTGTTGTTGTGGTTGAGTTATGTAGTAGTTGTTCGGCGGTGGGTATGTGCTATATTTTATTCAAGCTGGAATAATGCCTGCCTCCCTTGTATCTGCTAGACTTCGTTGGATTTTGTCCCTTCAATCCTCGAATCCAATAAGACCTTATTTTTGTTCAATTGTCGAAATGACCATTAGTTTGGAATAAATAAAGTTGACAAAAAAGTGCATCGTGTTTTTGATAAAAATAGAAATTGGTTAAACTATGACACTTCTGTTTTTGATTTGTATCAACTTGTTTTGAAAAAGGTTATCTCGATCATGAACTTTCAAAAAATTGTTTTTTTTTTCACCGTATTAAAAATACCCCTCTCTAACCCTAACTTTTTCTTTTATCGTCTTTGTTGTCTTTTATGAAGAGGAACTTCAGGGAGGTTGGAAGTTAGCTCGACAACTCCAACCCTAACCCTAGTTGATAACTCGCCAAGCGCACCAACGGGCCTCACCCCTTTGACATCTCAATTAGCTCCGTTTGGATTCTGTAGTGAAGGGGTAACAGTAGCGTGCCTTAGGAGAAAATGGATGGAATGTGCACGACGGTGTTGGGTCTTCTCGGTTGGTTCAAGAACGTTAGTCTAAAGTGTGTGATGGTGAGTATTGGAGGCGAGAGCATAGGTTGTCGTTGAGAACAAGTGAGTAATTCAAAGGTCACATTGGGTTCACTGGTGGGCTGAGCGCTCTACGTCAAGAAGTTTTAAGGGAGGGAGAACTTCAAATTCTTCGAATAGTGAGAAAGGTGAAAGTTGGGGTGTGACTAGAGTTGTTTGTGAGTTGCCAGAGAGGCGAGGTATGTTGCTAGTGTTGCTGTGCTTGACGAGTTGATGACTGGAATCATGGTTGCTAAGATAGCTGCAAACCTTCTTGAAATTCCCCCTCATTGGAGATAACATAGAGGGTGGCTGAAGGCGACGACGACAACATGTCTAAGATTAGAGTTTGGGTTAGAGAGAGAAGATTTTTAATTTGTTTAAGTGATAAAGAGCTTTTGAAAATTTATAGGTTAAATTTGAAGTTAATCTATATTGTTAATATGTGATATTATCAAATTGGTTAGAATTAACCATTTAATGACTAAAATGAGAAGAAAAAAAAAAACTCAGAAATTCTTAAAACGGGCTGTTGGACCAGATAATGTTTGATTCTCTTTGATAATGAGACAAGTACCACATTCGAGCATCTTTGGTAATAGGATAAAAAATAATATATATTTGAATATAAAAAAATTAATTATTACAAAATATAACATGATTAATAGTAAGAATGTATCTAGAGAGAATATAAAAAGGTGAATTCACTGAGTGGTCTCATGATAATTAAAAAATAAAATTATTTTTTTTTAAAGATTTTTAGTTTGAACTATAGTTTTTGTAAGGTGTATGTACGTTATGAATTACTAAAAAAGATTTTATATAAATATTAATTATAATCCTCCTAGACTAATAAAGAAACAAATGGTGAAATTTTTGCAACAATACATAATGATATTTAAATTAAGAAAAATTTAAAGTGATTCTCTAGTTTTTTCTTTCAAAGCGACTCCTTAGTCGGTGTAGCGTCATTGTCTCTTTCTCCTTATTTATTTTTATTTAGATTTAGATTTAAATATTCTCCTTGTTTTGGTTTCTTTCTCATCGCATATTATTGAAATATTTGTTTTTGTTTACTTTTATGATACTAGTTTATATGCTTTTTATGTAACGATTTTATTTATCATTATAATAGTTTAACGTTTCGTGTTATTTTTTCATCACGACACATCTCTCGATCAAGAAAATTTAATGGTCTCTATAATTTATTTTTAGGGTAAAAAATGGTCTCGTTAAAATCTCTCCTAAACAACATTGAAAATGTTGGATCTACGAGAAAAAGAGTATTAAATGAATCAAGGAGGATGTACATTAGTCTCTGTAGTTAGATCTCTTTTTGAAGTAATTTATCAATACACTAATACCGCAAAATAATATCATGTTAGTTCTCTCTATAATTGGTTTTAATTTAATCCAAAATATTGGTGTCCTTGGTAATTGACAATGTTGCATTTTCAGATGAAACATACTCGATTTATCCACAAGGAAAGTGTAAAGCATACCTCAAAGTCTCTGGAAAAATAAACTTTAACACATTAACTAAATTAAAACTAGTTAATGTACATGACAAAACTAGATACACATCTCCTTCATAAATTCATAACCCATGGTTAATGATTAATTAGCACTCTGATTTCACTAACACTATTTATCAGAATCAGAGCCAAAGAGCTCCGGCCTCCTTGAGAAGTGGCACCAAGGTGCCATTAATATGTGAAGCCATGACTCCGTCCATGGAACCAATCAGCTTCCCACCGATGAACACGACCGGAATAGTTTGTGCGTTGCAGAGGAGCCTCGACAGCGCCTTCTCCATCTCTTTCCCTCGAGGGTCATGGTCGAGCTCTATAACTGTCGGGTTCACCCCCATTCCGCAGAACAGTCTTTTGGCAGCATGGCACATGCAACAGCTGCTGACGCTGAATATCACCACGGCGCTCTCCGACGCCAGCTGCACCACTCTCTCTATGGGGTCCGACTCGATGCTCCGCAGGCTCAGGCTCATCGGCATATAACACCCCCACGAATCACCCTCACAATACATTATTTTCTCCCTTTTTTTCAACTGAAAAAACTGCGGAGAGAAACGAAGACGGTGATGAAGTTAAGGGAAGGCGTTAGAGGAAGTGGGGCATTTTATAAGGGTGGGTGGTGCGTGGTAGAAACTAGAAAAGTGGGGTTTGTCCATTGTTGTCGCACCCGCGTGCGTGGGGTATTTGCTTTAAAAGGATTTCTGTCTGCACTCAGAGAGAAGGACAACAATAAAAATCAAAACAGGTTTAAATATATTAAACCTCCCTCTATTATTTTAATATTTGAAATTTAGTCTTTATAATTTAATTTAAAACTATTTTTTATTTGAAAATCTTGGTCTGTTTACTAACTTTTGTTCACTCTCATCATTAATTATTGACTTAACAGTTAAATAAATAATTAAAATAACTTTTTAGTCCTTCACATTTATATCTTTTATCAGTTTAACTCTTAAAAGACTATAAACGTACATGACTAAACAAATATAGTTAATTACATCACATGTTCTCAAAGTATGACTCTCATTTTAAAATGATTCATAAACTTTTAAATATTATAATTGCATCCCTAAACTATGATAATCATTCTAAATTAGACCTCAAACTTTTGAACATTCCAATTTCATCCCCAAACTATAAGCTTCATTCTAAATTAGTCCCCAAACTTTTTAAACATTCCAATTTCATCCCAAACTGTATGTATAAACTAATCACATCCCTTATTAATAAAATTGTTAGGCCAAGTTATATTATTATATATTTGAGAAAAAACAAATTTTAGGTTAAACTATGGTTGAAACTAATACATATTTGGATGAATTTGGGATGAAATTATAATATCCAAAAGCTTGGGGACTAATTTAGAAAGAGTGTCATATTTTATGGATGAAATTAGAATGTTTAAAAGTTTAAGGACTAATTTAGAATGAGAGTCATAGCTTGGGGAGGAAATTATAAAATTAAAAAGTTTAGGGACCAATTTAATTAATAATAATTTGTATTTGTTTTTAAAGAATAGAGATCAAATTTATAAAAAGAACTACAATCGTAAAAAACTAAAAAAGTTGTTTTAACTTTTTTCTATGGTCTTAAAGAAAAATTGAATAGGAGAAAATAGATGTATGACACTTTCAAATTAAAAATAGGGTAAAATGCAAAAAATATCATTAAAATGTGTTGAAATGATATTTTTAACCATTGAACTTTAAAAATTACAAAATATTCATATCATCAAATTGTTATAAAATGGTAATTGCATGTAATAATATTAATGATAAATTTCGATAAGTTTAAGGACTATTTTGTATAGTTCAATAAGTTTAATAAACATTTTTTATTAGTTTGATAAAGTATAATGACCATTCTATAATAGTTTGATAAATTTGGTAACTATTTTATAACTTTTGAAAGTTTATTGACTGAAAAGATCATTTTAGTATGGTTTAGTAACCATTTGTATATTTTACCCTTAGAAATAATACATGCACTCAACATTATAAAATTAAAAAGTGCAAGGACTAAACATTAAATATTGAAATAGATAAGGAACCCTTTACATATATCAGGCAATAAAACCCTAGATGAAAAAGGTAAGGTGTTAGATGAAGGAGGGTAGGGGTAATTTTTCTAGTCCAGTTACCAACTTTTAATCACATAGCGTTTTCCTTTTTGTGTAGTAATATTAAAAAACAGACCCTTAACATTTTGGCAAAAACTGTAGGGTTTTTTGGGATAGACGGCTTGCTTTGGTGCTGCTTGTCGGGACCTTTGAGTTTGATGAGATTTACACTTTTGTTAGTGACAAGACCCGACTCTTGCGCGCATGTTTTGCCTTTGTCTTCTTGGACATGATGTATTCATCATCTATTGGATTTCTTGCTTTCACCAAGGGAGAGGGCATGAGTAGACTATAAACGAGTTGAGTTGAGTGGAGTAGAATTTGAATGTCGTTGAATTCAATTCAATTTGAAAAACTTAAAATTAAACTTGATTTGATTTGAAAATTCAGTTCGAGAAATTACAGGGCATTGTGTCCTCTAAAGCATAGGGTCATGGTCAATCATGAGTTAAAAAAGTAAAAGAAGTAGTGTACTAGATTGGTAATTTGTTTACTTCTGCTTAGGTAATTATAAGTTTGTGTTCTGGTGCAAATTACGTGGTTTAACGTGCGATTTGCTACTCCTATTTCTAGAAAATTGCCAAACCAAGTCATAATTAGGATAAATTCCAATTCATTGTTTCATACACCACATTCATTTGTTTATCTACTTTTCTTTTCTTTTTTCTCTGATTTTTGTTAATATTCTTATTCAAAAAAAAAAAATTCGATCGAGTTCCATCTTCCTTATCCAGATATATAAATTTAGATGTGTTGTTATTAATCTTAGAGAACGATGTCCATTTCATGATTACACTGGTCATGATAAAATTACTTTCACCCGTCTAATGATCTTAATTTCTAAAATAATGTAAAACTAAAAAAATTACATCCGACGAAAATGGATCCCAACCTTATAACTACAAAATATAAAGATGAAAAAAACAAAGCCATGGCCCCCCATTTGAGAATGAATGATTTGAAGGTAGGTGAAACATTGTTATTTGTTCCTACTGATATATATAAATAAAATAGTACAAAAGTTTTATACGTAAATCACATTCGTTGTTTCTTTAGCTAAAAACAATAATCATATGTTTGAATTACCTTTTGGGTTCTTTTGTAACTTTAGGATAAAGGTGCTCACGATATGCACGTAAAGATTATAGCTTCAATATCAAATTAGTAGAAGTTTCCAACAGTCACCATCCATGTTGTCTGAAATCAGTCAAAACATGTGGCGAAGAGCCCACAGCATGGAGTAAAACATGCTACAGATTTGGAAAAGTTAAGGTATGTGTGTTGTGGATTCCACATTAGCTATAGATAGTGGGACTAATACTTTTCTTTTGCTTATATTTGATTATGAGTTACTAAATCACATGCAGTGAATGAAGGAGCCTTAGTCGTATGCAGTGGAACTAAACATGTGTTAGTGCTTTGGATTTAGGAAATATGTTGCCACATGTTCACATGTTAGTGCTACTTTATTAAAAAGTCGAAAACGAAAAATTACAATAAAGGTTTATAATTATAAACCTACACTGAACATATAATTCGAATATATTTTTATAGCAATTACACAATAAATTAGACACTTGAGATTATACAAAGATCATACAAGAAAAATATTAACAATGTATCCAAAAAAATCAAATAAAAGATAGATACAAACATATTTAACTGCATCGATAAATGAACCGCAATAGAAAATCAAACTATTAAAAGACCACTGACAATCATAGATCATAGTCGAATATCATGAGAAAACTATCTCTGAATATAAACCGCATTTCCAAATTTAATCTGAGGGTCCAAAGTAGGTAAGATTAGTAGGATAACAAATAAGCACCATCTTGATCAGTCGAGACGTCGTCAAATCCAACCTTGAGAAAATTAAACGAAAACAACGTCAAACAACTGAAAACGTGTCAAAAGGTAGATAAAAACGTGTAATAAAGGTAGAGTTATTAAAAAAATGAGATATAAGAAAATAAAGGAAAAATGAGATATAAGAAAATAAAGGAAAAATAAGGAATGCATGTGGTCGACGACCAACATCAAGGCCGGTGTCATCGTCTGCCAACAGGGATGGACATAGGCAGGGCGAACGGGGACGGTCACCTCCTTAAAAATTTTAAATTTCTATATATTTTAGATATTTTATTTGTATTTTCTATTGGAAACCTGCTTTTACCTGGCAAAAATACCAGGATAATGCAAAAAGGGAAAAAAATTTCCCATTCTAATGTGGTTCCAACATTATTTCCTCATCTAGGGAATTTTCTACAGTACATGCCTAAAGACCCCGAAATATCTCGGCGTCTTCAGGTTAAAATTTTGCATGCATAATCCTTGGAGATTACTTGGCGTCTTTAGTTGAAATAGGGTTGCTGTTGCATGTGGAGGTGGTCCGGAATTCTAGGCGTCTTCTTGGGAAGTTTTTGTAGGTTTACCTTAGGTTTTATCGGTTAAGCCAGACCCAAATTACAATTCTAAGAAAAAAGATCACACTGCTTCAAACACTGGAAATTCACAGTTGTTTCATGATGGGAACACCAAACACTGGCTTGTTCGAATGGATAAGCCTGGAATTGGGGTTGTCACAAAAGCACAAATGGTTGATTATTATACTCAAATACTTACCGAAGTGTTGGGAAAGTAAGTATTTTGTTCATTATGCACGAAAGAAATTTGGTTTTCCATCATAAGTTTGTTCATTCTGGAGTGAAATGATTGTTGCAGTGAGATGGATGCACAAATGTGCATATATCATGTATCTTGGCAATCCCAATTTGCTTTCTGTAGTGAACTTGATGAAGAATGCGCGAACGAACTAGCTGGTCTGTAAATGCTTTCAACTAAAGACGCCGAGAATTCCTGGCCACCTCATCATGTAGCACCAACCCTATTTCAACTAAAAACGCCGAGTAATCCCCAAGGATTATGCATGCAAAATTTTAGCCTGAAGACGCCGAGATATCTCGGGGTCTTTAGGCGTGTACTGTACAAAATGTCCTAGATGAGGAAATAATGTTGAAACCACGTTAGAAATGGAAATTTTTCTCATTTTACATTATCCTGGCATTTTTTCCGCTTTTACCCCCTTAATATTTTATAAGTTTATATCCCTTTATAGACATCCATTTTTGTCCGGTTCTAAAAAAGATATATTTATTATTATTATTATTATTACTTTTATTATTATTAATTATTATTACATTTTGTAGACCCAATATAGCAACCCACCATCTAACCTATCCGAGGCCTAATACATGAGCCCAACACCAAGGCAACCCAATTACAAGCCCAAACAGCTTACCCAAAACCCAGTTGAAGCCTGACTCGTTTACAGATAACAAACCTAGACCTGGCTCAGTAGCCCACCAGAGTCTAGATTCGACCCGACGCTTAGGGTTTTTGAAACCCTAACCCTAGGGATTTGATGTCACTGTCGCCATTCTCTGATGTTGTCGTTTGCTACCGCCACTGTTGCTCCTGTCAGTTATCTCAGCTAGCCGCCTGCACCCAAGTCAGCCAATCTATCAAACAGTGACATAAATCACTAATCAAGCTAAAGAAACTCAATAAAAAAATGCAAGCAAATCAAGATAGATATTTGGGAGATAATCATATCCTCTGATCTCTCGAAAATCGAAGGCCAATATTACAAAACCATCACATATAATGAAAAAAGAGGGGACACGAACAGAAACTAGAGGAGAGAGATTAGGAGCCTAGAGAAAAATATCGAAAGAAATCAAACAGAGAGAGAAAAAAACAGAACAAAAAAACCTATTCGAAAGGAGAAAAAAAAGAAAAAGAAAAAAGAGAGCAAAGTGAGATGGTTCTTACCTCTGCTTGAAGAGTTGAAAGCTCGATGGTCGCCGATTTTTGGGTGTTTCGAAAGGTAAATATGTAGATCTAGGAGGCTAGGGTAGTTTTTAGGTTGAAAGGGTGGGGGTTTCGAGTCGAGGGTGAGGAGAGGAAGCTTTTTGAGTTGGTTGCCTCTCTCCGGCCGCAGTGAATCGCCGTGAGCTCCGCCGACGGCGGCCATCCCTTTCTTCCCCGATGAGGGGAAGTTGAGAGAGTTTTAAAACTCTCTCTTCTGGCTTTCTGAAACGAATGAAAAATGAGGGAGGATGAGAATGAAAGCCCATTTTTGGGCTTATATCCCTCGATTGAAACGTTGTCGTTTTGGGGAGGGGCCTTTCCGTGTTTTCGAGTTATGATATAATAGACATGCAGGTCTTTGATCCTTTGTAATCTCACGATTTGGGCCGTGGAATGAAGTTTACATTGTTTTGTTTTGAGCCTTTATCTTTTCACGTTTATATTTTAGTCACTATCATATGTATTGTACCATTTTTGTTTATGTTCGATTCTGGTTTTAATATTTGCAAATGTTTCATTTCAATCACTGAATGTAATCTTTCTTTATTTATAATTAGTATTTTTAATTTACTTTGTTTACATTATGGCCATTGTTTTCTTATAAAAACTTTAGGTAAAATCATTGTTTGCCCTTATGAATTTCTACACTAATTTGTTTTAGTCCCCATTGTTGTTTAAGGTTTATTTTTATTTCCAATACCTATATTGTTTAATTTATTTGATATTAGTTCTGGTTTGTTTTTATTTGTGATTTAGTCTTTCAAATTTATGTTAGTAACAATTTGGTCCTTAAAATTTCAAATATGTTTATTTAGTTAATTTTTTTATTGTTTTGTTTTAGCCCCTTATGTATGTATGTATTTCACATGTTATGTATTTTATGTACAACATTAAATGAATAGTATTAGTTTTATATTGTAAATATTTTATTTTTACATTTACAATTGTATTTATTCCCATATTATTTCCTTATTTAGTGATATGGTATTCGAATACTTTCAAGAACGTTATTTGTAGAATGGGCATGAAAAACACCACTTGATCGAAGTGATGTAATATGATATGACATTCAAACAAAATGTGAACATGAAATAAATCGATTTCATTTTGCTAATTATTAATTCATTTTATTTTAAGTTGAACTAGGCAATGAATATTTATAATTAGCCATTTATTTTATTTTATGTCGATGTTCAAGTTATATTCGATTTTTGTTTTTAAAAAATCAATGTGGGGAGAATATTCTTTACGAATGAGAAATAATTGAGATAGCTTTCCGGACGGAGGATTGCAAATTTCAAGATTTCTTATCGAGTTAAAGGATTTTCTTTAAATAGTTAATTCGAAGCAAATTAATCAAATTTTAATAAATGATCATAATTTAACTTTATATTTGATTCATACTTTCCACCATTTACGACAACATGTAAGCGATTCAATACCAGTTTTTGGGCGTTGTGGGGGTGCTTACCATTCCCCACATGTAATCGACTCCCGGACCTATTAAATAGAGTTTTTGGTAAACAAATACCAACTTTTGTCTTAAAAAACGATATTTCCTCAAAAATTGTTTTAAAAGACGTTTTTAGGTATTCGACCTACCTAACCCAAAGGTCGATGGAGACTCCTATCTAATTTCATTCAGATTAATTCCAACTCCACAATTTTCCAAATAAAAGTCATAATCGTTTTTAAAATAATATTTAATTATTTTTCAAAAAAATGGTTATGACACCCTTCAAATGTGATAAGTTCAACCCATTTACATAAAATCATGCGTCCGTCTCTGATTGTCAAACAAAGAAGAAAAGAAAGGAACCAAAAACAAGAACCTAAAGAGAATTTGTTAGGGTTTTGTGGTGCACCATTTTAGCTCTCTTTTAAAGAGCTATTTCGTTGTTTGTTATGATTAATTTAGAGTCAGTCGGTTTCACTAAAAAAACATATTTCCATAAATGATTTTTGTAAAATAAATTAAATTTTCTGAAAAGTAAATTTTTGAAATCATTTTTTGGTGTTTAAATGATAGTGTGTAAATTTTCTATTGTTTGATAAAATTTTCAGATATTATTCGTTATAAATACCAAATAAAATAAGTTAGTTATTTTTCCCTCATGCATTTACTATTTTTCCCAACACACTTACATCGGCATAAATAAGTTTGAGAGGACAAGAACTTATTTACAGCAGAGTAAATAAGTCATAAAAACACTTTTACATAACTAATTAACGTACTTTTTCGTTAACTCATAATTTTACTTGAATCAAACACCAAAAAATAATGAATATTTTTCAGAAAATCAATTACAACCAAATAAATATAACCTTAATGGTAATCATGACTCATTTCGTTAACCATGAGTAACTTGGTTGTTTTCTCATTGAGGAATGCTTAATTAACAAAAATGAATCATTCAGCTTCTCATGTTCAGGAACAACTGGACCATCCCCTTACACAAATAGCTTCAGCTTATTTTACTTTTTACTGTATAGCACTGCTTATATTGCGTGAAACAGTATAATTTCAGACTAGTTTTATTTACTATGCATGACGGTATAAAAAGAAGCAGTGACAGTGAGGCAAAGGATCACAATCACATGTTCACCTAAAGCCCAGACAAAGTGACGGCAGTTGCTAAACTAGCATAGTTCAGGCGTGCATGCACCTGCTCCCACGGGGCGGAGGGTACGGTTGTGCGCCGAATACCGGCTAAATATCAGCAGCTCTTTGTTGTTGTTTTTCCTTCATGGTTGACCTTATTCTTCACCAACGCATGCTCAGCAGAATCCCAGTGCTTCTGCAGCTTTTTTTTTTGTACGTTGCAAGTAAAATTCAAGCTCTGGTTGTTGGATAAAAAGTGAGTGTGGGTAAGGTGATTTTCTTAGTCTCGAGAAAGAATTACAGCTTTAACTTGCAAGCGGGTGTGGGTCAAACAAAACACTGATTATTTTGGTCGATAGCTACGCAGACAGAATCGGAATCTTGGGATTTGGTAAAGTTCTTCTGATAATATGGTTAAAATAATGGTTCATATCATGTATAGAGGGCTTCCTCGCCCATGTAGGTCGTTGGAAAAAAAATTTTACTCGTATAGAGTGTACAAGAGAAATTGTTTTATCAACTAAGATGGAATGAATCACCGACGTTTCTGAGAAGATATCTAATAGACACTATATGTTTAAGGTTGATACTTTATTAAGGTTAGCGTTTAAACAACATACAATCTGAGAAAGAATTTTTTTCAAAAACATCAAATGATTTGATCGTTTGAGCATGCTTATTTAGAAACGTATTTTTCAATGCCAGACTTTAAACGATCAAACACGTTTCTAAACAAGCATGCAGCTTTGACAAATACTTTCATTTCCATTACCAACAAAAAAATGCAGATAACTGCTACTGTAAAACTAGAGAAGGATCATGACAATGAGAAAATTGATAAAATCATCCAAAAATAAACTGCCAAACCTATAAACATACAAACATTTTACACTCAAATCCATACAATCGAGCTTCTTGTAATATTCCAAAGCTTTTATCAGATTTAAAAAAAAAAATGGTTCTCGCTTGGATACTACAACACAAAATTAATACACATGAAATAACCCCACAAGAGCAGGCATCCGTTTCTTCTTCATCATCTTCGAATACGGTTTCCAATTCGATTACTTAATTATGATCTCCTAATCATTGATGTCGTATTTCCCTCGAAAAGTTGTTCAATCAACTCCTCAATATCTTCTGGTTGATACTTTATGTATTTCCCTGCTTGTTTACTATTATCAAAGTATGACTGGAATCTCCCTACAAATGACCTGTATGCTGGAATCATCACCGACGATATCGATACTCTTAGCTCCGATTTAAGTTGTCCGTCGCTTACCACCCATGTGCTCTGTGTCTTGAGGATTTCTTCGAACAAGGCGTTGAAGTTCTTGAACCTTTCTTTCAGTATAGGTTTTGACACTTTCCCATTAACTTGTACACCCTCATGACTTATGGTCTGCAGCACGTTGCTCCATGTGTCTCTTTGGTACAATTTATGGTACTGCCTCAACTCCGATGTTCGTTTCCGTGACCAAGAATGACCGAGCATGTCGTAGATGTCGGTCGACTCCTTGAGCTTCTGCAAAATGTATCTCCCATTGTTCATTAAGAAGATGTAACGCAATGACGGGCTCCGATAGAGCTTTGATTTCATCTCGATGTTGGCATCTAACAAATCCATGACCTCCACCAACTTTAATGCAAAAGGGGATGCCGGCAGGAACCTATCGTCCTTTTCAATGTAGTTCTCCTGTACTTTCTGGACGGTCAATCCCTCCATTTCATTGTGCTTTTGAAATACTTGCTCTAGTGTGTCCTTATACTCACAAGCATACTTTAGATAGTTCATTGTATAGCGAGTCAAGGGGTGAACAGCACCACCCGCGACCGGGATTCTGCCTGCATTGTCACTCTCGATCGAATTCTCAAGCTGAGAGAAAATGCTCACCGCTGTTTCGCCGATCCTACATTGTACCGTAAATGTATCGGACATGAATTCCTTGGCGGACAAGTAATTGCCAATCTCCATGTTATTCAAATCACGCAATGCCTCGTATATGTCTAAGAACTTAAATAGTTTCTCCGTTGAGTATTGTCTAGGCAACACCAGGGCATTCGGAAAATTGAGAAGCCTCATGGTCAAGGATGTCGAGAGTTCACAGAACAATCTCTGGGCGATCGAAGGATGCTCGGAAAACACCGAATTGCAAAGTGTGCGTTCTTCGGAGAAGAGATTGTTGGTGCAATGTTTCATAATGTGAAGCCAATTACCGATCTCGACTTCCAGTGATTCCCAACTCATCCTTTCGGCATCGTCGACATTGATATTCTCAAACGATAGCTTGCTCAACTCGGCATCCAGTGCTTTAAGCCTAAGACCACTATAAGCAATGCAACACTCTGCCTCGTACCCTGCAAATATCATTGTGCTACCAATTCGGTTCATGATAGATACTGATTCGGGCGAAAAATACGGGAACTCTTCCACCGTTTTCAACTTCGTTTCTCCTTCGTTTCGATCCGTATTTATATCGAGAAGCGTACGGAACTCGTTTTCCAATAACAACATGGCACGATGGTGTTCGGAGCCTGCTCGGTTTAAACACGAAGTCGCACCGGAATCTGATGGCAATTCTTCGAGCCTACGAATGATCGTCCAAAGGAGTTTTACGGCTTCGAAAAATTCCTCCATGTTTAGGCCGAATTTAGCTGAGGCTTTCCTTAGTTCATAGGCTGCAATCTCGGAATCAACCATCTCCAAGAACTGGTCAATACAGGTAAAATTATTCTCACCGGAATCTAACGTTTCGATGAATTGATCAACATCTTTCAGAATTTGATCAAATTTAAAACCGGGTTCCGATGATAACTCATCGGGATTGTTCTGCTCATCCCCACCGTCCGATACAGTTTCGGTTCCCAAGTTTTCACCGTTCTGGCTCTTCCCCATGATGAGGTGAAATTAGCCAAGCCAAGCAAGGCAATAATGATTTTAATTTTGTATTTAATCTTGCATTTGTGCTTGAAAGAGATTAAGAAGATGATTAATAAACAGAAAAGAAAAATTATAACGTAAATAACGGGAATTGGTCGTTGACCTCACAAAGTTTCATTTTTGTTTTGGATCGTGCGCTGCTCCACATCGTTTGCCGGCGGTTGTTCAGGATTTGAACCAATATTAGGTAAGTATTTTCTTTTATAATGGTTTAATACCTATTTTAGTCTCATATTTTAGTCAATTTCTCACTTTTAACTCTTGTACTATTTTTCGGTCAGTTTAACCTTCTAATTTTAAATTTCTTTATCATTTTAGTGATAGTAAAATTCAAAGTTGATTGAAGAAAAATAAAAGGCTTAAAGCAAGAAATTCACTAAAGCTCAGGGGCTGAAGTATATATTAAACCTGTGTTTGATAAGTTTTATTTAATAAAAAATTGCAAAAATAATAATTTGTGCTTTAAAATGTTTTAAAAAATTATAAATAGGAGTTAAATAAATATTAGAACTACTTATGATATTGAAATATTATAAATAATATATTATAAGTAAATCTTAAAACTATTTATAATACAATATAAAAATTTTATCTTTATTTTTAAACTTATATTAACTACAACTTAATATAAATAATATATTATTGTCATATATATATATATATATATATATATATATATATATATATATATATAATCTATTTAATTATAACACAACTATTAATTTTTCTTGACGGTTCAATTACTTTTATACTCTCTAATTGGTTTGGGCTTGAATCCTCTCTTGACCACTTTTATTCTCTCTTTTTTCTAACATTAACTATAGTGTTAAGTTTTTTTAATAGATGTGATCATTAGAAGGTTCTATTTGTTTACAATCTTTCTTAATTATTGATAACGGACACATCCTACAGACGGAACTGCTCGAATTCAGTATCACTACGAAAAAACAATACTACTTTTAACCACTGAAAACACTTGATTACCTTGTCATTAGAGTGGGATTTGGCTTGTTGGTTATGACGAGTCCAATTTTAAATATATAATTATATTAATTTTGTTAATTATTAAAAAATATTTTAATATTTTTCTAATATTTATAAACAATAGTTTCAAATAAAAAATAACAATATTTTTAAAATATATGAAAATTCGTATATATATATTTTTTAAAATTATAAAAATAAATTTTCAAGCATGGGAACATCACGTAGTTTCATGGGGGGATAAAACCGAAGAGAGTATTGAAACTCAAATCAGCTCGTTGATTAGACTGCAAATAAATAACATATTGAAGCTTCTTCGAAGATCACAACTTTGTTGGTATGCTTCCTTTTAACACACAACTCCAACACAATAAGTAACCAACAAAAGAGAAACATATTCACCGAAAACATTATTATTTCTACCGATTCTAATTATTGATATAGGTAATTACGATAAAAAAAATTCGGTCAAAAAAATAATGTTTTGGTAGCGTTTTACCGAAAACATTATATTTAAAAATAATAATATTTTCGTTCATTTTTTACCGGTTATATTATTTAAAATAATAAAAAAATCGGTAACACCTTTTTTAGCCGTATATTAGACTGTCGCACCGTAGAACTTCCCTGCTAAAGACAATGAAAAACAAAACATAAAAAGCACCGAGCTAACCTCGCGAACTACCTATATATCAGCTTGGATCGGTCGAGGTAGTGAGTGGGGACATCTCTTAAATTTTTCACATTTTATTATATTTTAAATTTTTGAATATTTTTTTATTGATAATATAGTTTTGTCCTCTAAGGTTTTATAAGTTTGATTCCTCTAAAATTTTATAAATTCATCTCTTAACATAAAAATACGTGTTTGTCCATGCATATAAGTAATCTTAAAATAGGAATTTGACATGAGAGATTATTCATATTCAAATACAAATAGGAGAGCATAGTCAAGTTAATATATTTCTCTCGTTATCTCACCATACAAAGCGTAGTAATACTAGGGATAGGATGAGACTCGAATTCAACATGTTTTGATCCCACCTGATCTGATGGGTCGGATTTTTTTTAAAAAAATTGAGGTCAGGTCGGGTTTTTTTAGAGGTCGTGTTCGTGTCGGGACAGGTTCGGGTTTAGGGTGAAAAATACTCAACCTAAGAAAAACATATAATTTTGCCTTTATATTTAGGGATAATTGCAATAATTTCCTCTATATATTATTTTATTCCAATTAAATCTATATTTTTATTAAATAAAAATAATATTTTTAATAAATATATTATTTCGGGTCAGGTTCGGATTTTATCTAAAAAAATTCGAGTCAGGTGGAGGGTTTATATTTTTCGGATCAGGTCGGGTTGACCAAAAATCCAATCCACTAGATCATGCCCATCCCTAAATGCAAGAAACACCCGGTCAAGTGCTTGAGCTCGGTAATCGCTAGTGATATTTTTTCGGACAAAGTTTATCCCTTGCAAAGTCTGTCCCAACTGATCCATACATCTCTCTATATTGCAGAGTCAGTCTTCAGCTTCAGTAGGAGCTACACCTGTCGTACCTCTAAAAGTCCTGACCCTATTAGCGATCAAGGTCTGAGTAATCGGGAATTCAGGTGCGACACTAACAGCTCTGACCACACCCTAAATCAACTACAGAAACTGCATACCGAGAGTCTCATTTAGTACCACAATCGTAGACTCAGAACCAACGACTAAGGCTCCCCTGACAGGTGTCGTCATATCGATATCAAGGGCAGGCGGCGAATCAATAATCGGATCGTCGATCTGGTCAGTGAACCTAGCAGCTCGACCTCGCCCGCGGCCAAATCAACGACCTCTTCTAGCACTCATAAAGAAGGATCTCAGGGCTCACTACACAAGAGTTAAACTTAAGGTCAGATTTGACACTAGAGTGTCGAACACATTTAAACTTGTAAAAACGGGTGACATGGATAGAAAGTTGTAAAACGTTTTCAAAATAGTATTTTTATTTATTGAAAACCCATTCACAATCCGGGGTTTAAAAACAAAAAACTCTAATACCAACTAAATGTAACCCCCTAGACTCATTCTATGCGTTACGACTAGATTTAGTGGATTGAATAAAAATTTCCAAAATATTTTTCGATAATTTAAAACCATATGATAAATAACATCTTTGAAAAAACATAGTTAATAATGATAAAATTCCAACGAGTAAATATAAAACCGTAAGTGATGAGTAAAATAAAATATATCATAATCTGTATCACAATAAATCTAACATCAATAGCAAAAACAGTAGTAGTCATAAAAACAAGTATTTCAAAATAAAAGCACATGTAACCGAAAATGAAGGCAGACCGAAAGATAAAAACATTACAACAAAATATATTGTACGAATGTGTCGATCCTCCAAGTGTCAGGTCCGGGGTGCCTATCCAAAAGTATCTGAAATGGGGAAAGGTTTGAAAAGGTGAGTTAGAGAGCTCAGTGTGTTCCAATAGTGCAAGTAAAACATAATGGGTAAAATAATCAAGAAGTAGTTCAGTAAAGTATCGTAAAAGTCATAGAGAAGTTGAATTTTAAAACTCATAATTACCCTTCTCCCGTATACCAAAATGTAGTTCCCCAGAACTGCATCCATAAGGGCTTACCTTATACCCATTGGGTATAGGATCCAACTTAAGGGAGCATTTTGGGGCTTGAGAGCATATCCAAGAAAGTTCTCAGGGCCTCGAAGCCTACCCAAAGGTTGCCTTAGGTATGTAAGGAATTACAAACTTGATCATAGTTGAACCTCCATACTTAAGTATCCTACTCAAAACAATATCTCAATAAAATAGTTCATATAGTAAATAGTGAATTCAATAATCCATAAATCGACATAAACATATCTTCATGCTGACCCAACAATACATTTTTCTCAGATTCTGATACATCTTATCTTCACCGGGGTGCTTAGCATAAGGGCTATTCTGAGCCTCACTAGGGATATCATATCTCAACTTTGCATCATCACGTACACAATATCGACCTTTGAAGCATAAAACTTTATAATGGCCAAAAGCATAATTTGAGGTAATACCCTGCTCAACTTTCTCAATAATGAGGAGCAAATAACTATCAAGAATCTGCTTGGCCTTGATCTCATCGACCAAGGTCGACTTAACCTGCAATTCTGCTAATAGAATGTCATCATTATATAACTTCATCCTGGAAAATAAAGGCCTTAGATCTGCTATCACCTTCCGGCTTAGAGCATCCGTAACGACATTAGCTTTACTCGAGTGATAGTCAATCTCGTAATCATAGTCCTTCAGAAGCTCAAGCCAATGACGATGCCTTAGATTAAGTTTCTTCTAGGTCAAAAGATACTTCAAACTCTTGTGATCAGTAAAAATGTAACACTTCTCTCCATATAGATATTGTCTCTAGATCTTTAAAGCAAAGATCACAACTACCAACTCTAAATCATGGGTCGGGTAATTACACTTATACGACCTCAGCTGACAGGGCACATAAGTAACTACCACCCCCTCCTGTATCAGAACATAACCAAATCCAGAGTGTGAAGCATCATTATACATTGTAAAATCCTTCTCGGGCTTAGGTTGAGTCAAAACTGGAGCTTGAGTCAAAGTTATCTTCAATTTCTCAAAATTCTCCTACTGTACATCACCTCAGTCAAACAAAATATTCTCCCTCAACAGTTTTGTCAAAGGGGCAGTAATCATTGAGAAGCCCTCGACAAAAAGTCGATATTACCCGACTAAGGCCAAGAAACTACGGATCTCAAAGACATTATTAGGTCGCTTCCAACTCACAATGGCCTCAATCTTACTCGGATCGATCTGAATACCTCTTGCAGAAACAATATGCCCAAAAAATGACACCTCCCGGAAATAGAATTCACACTTGCTTAGCTTGACATAAATGTGATACTCTCTCAGTTTCTATAGAACAATGTTCAAATTCTCATCATACTTTGCCTCAGTTTGGGAATAGACCAAAATATCATCAATGGAAACCACTATAGACAGATCTAAATAGGGTCAGAACACACGATTCATCATATCCATAAAAGTTGTGGGATTATTTTTTTCAGATCAAAAGGCATC